TGCCTGGCAGCAAACATGGCTGCCCCTGCCCCCTTTAAATCGAAATAATCTTCACTCCCTCCCCCAAGCCGTCAAATTATGGCCATGTCTCTCCCTGCCTCCCGACCATAACACAAACACATCGCCTCCTCCCTCAAAACAGTAAAACCCACACCTCCCCATTTCACAACAATCACAATCCCATAACCACTAGCTTCTCTATTCTCTTGCTTGAAAGAAAGGCACAGAATACACACAAATATAGGAACAAAAGGCTTCCCTTCCTAACACTTTAACGACCCCCATCCTCTTCTTTGCCTCCCACTCTGACGCTAAGCGGATCGTTCTCATCCCTGTCATCATTCAGTTAATTTCCTTCCCTAGCCCAATCCTGTCTTCCAGTTTCCTGCGTCTATTTCCCATCCTCCTATTGCAGCCTGCCTCATCCCTTTTCCTAATCCACCTTTTCCTTCACTTTCATTCCTCGTTTCTTCCTTCATTAACATAAAATGCCCCATTTCTCCAGCAAATTTATCCCCTTCCCCTAGACTCCTCTGCTTCCCACACTCCATCCCCAAACCTCCCTGTTTATCTGAGTCCACCCAGGTCTCTAATCTCCGTGCAACTCTTCACCCCTTTCCCTGCCCCTCCCCATCCCATCCTTATCCCCGCCCCCATCCCACTTCTACTCCCAATTCCCAGCTCAGCGCCACTCCGACTCCGATCCCACTCCCACCTCCCCACCCCACCCCCCAATTCCCTCCACACCCCCCACCTGGCCATCTGCTCTTCCGTCAGGACTCCCCTCGAGCCCGTTCAGGCCACCAGCTTCCCCTTCCATTCCTTCTGGGGTCTGGTGCCCCAGCCTTAGGTCGCCCCCTCCCAGCCGTTCCCTCCTCAGCCCTTCCTTGCACTACACGCGCGCGCGCGTGGACACACACACACACACACACGCACTTTACCTTCAGTTTGTTCCATTCTAACCCCCCGGCCGTGTCAGTGCGATCACAGGAGAGACACGGAGGCCCGGAGTGGGGCTGGGGTGCGGGCAGCCGCCGGGGCCGCGCGGGGAGGAGGCGGAACCGAGCTAGGCCGCATGAAATCCCCGAGCTAGATTTTCCCCGCACCGGACGCCTCTGCCATGGCGGCCGGCACCGAGGAGGGCCACGGCCGGGCCGGGCCGGGCCGGGCGTGCCGCAGGAGAAGGAAGGCTCGGAAGGTGGGGAGGGAAGGGGAGGCCGAGGGACTGGGGTCGCCCCGCTGCCGACGCCGCCAGAGAGGAGCCTAAGACTGGCGGCCCGGCCTGGGCAGCAGGGTCCTGAGCGCTCGGCTCCGAATTCGCACGCCTCTCCGCGGCGACCTGTGCACAGCCCCCTCGGCCTCCGCCTCCGTGCTGGCCGCCGCCGCCGCTTCTCCCGCCGCCGCCGCCGCGCACAAAGCCCCCCCACCCCGACTCTCGGGGCGCCGCCGCCGCCAAATCCTCAGCCCCTCATTGGCCGCGGGCCGCGGTGCCTGCCGGGAAATGCAGTCCCGGGTTCGGGGCGCTAGGGGCCCAGGAGGAAGCTGCGAGTCTGCTGGGCGAAGGGGGCGGGAGCGCAAACCAGGAACGCCCGCGGCCGCTAGCGTCTGGACGACCCGGGAGACTGGGCGAGAGGGCCGAGGGACGGGGAGGGACGGTGTGAGGGAGAGTGACACACAAAACACCCCGGGAACCTGGAGGAGGCGGGGAAAGGTGGGGCCCGGGAGGTAAAACTGGGCTCGGCGCGTTCTGTGAAGCTGATTAAAGAACAGCGTGCATTCAGGGCCATAAGGCGCTCTTCGGGGTTAGAAGCGACCCTCGTACTCGCACGGTCCCCGGTCCCTCGCGACTGCGCGAGGGCAGGGCAGTCCAGGCGACCCCTTGGCCATCTCCCATCCCACAGCTGTCAGGGAAGGGGTCCCATTCCAGGAGGGTCTGCATTTGGAATGCCGGGGGCGATGCAAGACCGCCTTGGGGGCGGTTTCCCTCTCAGCCCCGGCTGGGTTGTCGATGGTCCCCCTCCCCCGGTTGCCAGCCGCAGGAGGCCGGGCCGGTGGCACAGTCCCGCTGAGGAAGCGTCCCAACTTCCCCGGCAGGCGTCGGTCCCGCGCATCTCTTCCTGCTCAGCTGCGGCCCGGAGGCTTGTGGGTAACCGGGAGGACGTCAGCGCCCACCGCATCCCCTGGTGCCCCCCGGCCGCGGGATACCGCGACGGCTCCTTGTCCGTCACGTGCCGGGGCCCGCGGCTGCTCGCTGCCAGACCTTCGCATCCAGGGACGTGAGGGATATTTGTCCTAGACGGCCCAGGCAAGAACCAGAGGAGGAACTAGGAAGCAATTCTCCGTCATCTTCTAGCCCCCCGGATCCTAGGAAATGTATAGAAAACAATGGAAGGTTAGATGTCTGCACCAGTGATCTAGCCCCGCAGGAGTGTGCCGATCAGGTGATATTTCCTGGGGCCTGGTGATAAGGACTTAGAAGGTTACAGCACAGAGACGGGAACTTAAAAAGGAAACACAGGCAGCAAGCAAATAAGGAAACCAATACTGTCTGTTCTGAGAATAATAAAGCCATTTCACTGCTAGACGTCATACTCTGTAGACGTTACAGTGCTGGATGCCTTTGGTACTATTACAAGAAATTAGGTATCTGTAATTTTACCACGTAAACAGGAAATTAAAAGATTCCTACAGATCAGTTATTTGAATGGGCGCTAGTTATGATCCACTTAAAAAAACAACAAAAACGTAACCCGGTTAATTCTAAGGATGATACTGAGAATTAAGAGTTTTCATTACTATTAATCATTAAGTATTTTTAAACGTATCCTTTAAGTAGTACCACAAGTTAAAGCTATCAGTAAAACCACACTTTTAATTTGTGATATGGCTTTTTAAAACAGAAATGGCCAAAGTGGGCCACCAAGTCTAGCTTAATTCTATCTCCAGGAAAGAGGGATTAATTAAATTAGTATTTTGCTTTTCTATGAGCCTTTCTACCTCCGTTCTTCTTTTTCTTCCTCCTGTGTCTTCCTTGCTTTGTTGAGAAACTGTTGTCTTGACCCGGCCCCTGGGTTTCTTCCTTGAGAGTCTGTTAAATTGTCCCCAGGGATCTTATATTAGCCTGTTTTAATAGCTATGCTATGAGGCAGCAAGAGTTTAAAATTATGTGAAGTAGATGCACAGTCTTTTCCTGCAAAACATTACAAAATACAGTTAGTAATATTTGATCTAGTGCCATATTTAGGAAAATAGCCATTAAAAATAAAAATTAACATTTTCAGTATCTAATGTCTTCTAAGTTTTAGACCGTGCCTACTTTTCACCACGGAAAATGAGCAAGCAGCTCATTAAGACAGCAATCTAACACAATTCTCAGGGCCAGAGTCATGGAAGAAAAAATATTTTTAAAAAAATTTCTTTTCTGAAGAGTATATACAGAAACTCCTTACATGATAAATCACTTATCCTGAAAGTCAAAGAAATTGCCAAGTCTCATAACAGGGGAAGGCAGACAATGCTTTCAACAAATAGATTTCAATAAGAAGGGTTCGTAACCCTTCTTTTTTTTAGGATAAGATTGCTGACATATGGCCGTTGTAGAAAACCTAGCTCATCTTTCAAATACTGGGCATGGAATCGTTCATCTGGTTTATGAATACTTAATGATATTCACTGTGCCTCGTTGTAAGTGAATACAATGCATGAATATTTCCCCGTATAAAATGTCTCCCAGGGAACTGAGAATATTTTTGCATCCTTTATGATCTTTTCCATAAAAGTACCAGTACATGGTAATGCAATTATGAAATCAGTGTAGAAACTACTCCTACTTTTTAGAGCTCAAAATTTGACCACCGGGAATTTTCAGTGAGGGAAAAGTAGAGTCCAAAGCTTTGTAGATTTTAATTCTAGTAAACAGAACGTGAAGTGAAACCTTTATGTGCAAAGTTCAACATCAGACGTGCACAAAGAGACCTCTAGTGGCCAAACTGAAAAGTTTGCCTACTTAAAGTTGATCTATTTGGTTATTAGCTGAAAAATCCTTTGTGGATTAAAAGCAGTCTGCATTTTTTTTACTGACGTTTAATACCCGCCATCTTCCATTCTTAAAAATGTGCAGCCCAGATGAGTAACGTCTGGTCAGCCTACATGTTAGGAGACGTATTCTCCGTAAGAAAGCGATTCTCCTTGCCGTATGGTGGTGTAGAGCCACTTAAAATTTTTTTTTTTTTTTTTTTTTAGATGGAGTTTCCCTCTTGTCGCCCAGGCTGCAGTGCAGTGGCGCGATCTCGGCTCACTGCAACCTCCGCCTCCCGGGTTCAAGCGATTATCCTGCCTTCGCCTCCAGAGTAGCCGGTACTACAGGCGCATAACCACCACGCCCCGCTAATTTTCGTATTTTTAGTAAAGACGGGGTTTCATCATGTTGGTCAAGATGTTCTCGATCTCCTGACCCTGTGATCTGCCCGCCTCGGCCTCCCAAAGTGCTGGGATTACAGGCGTTGAGTCACCAGGCCCGGCCTAAAAAAAGTTTTTTAAAATCTTCCTTCTGTAGCCAGATAAAATGGATGGGAAAAGATAACTGGGGAACGAGAATATTTCTTGATCTTTTATTTTCCCAACATGGCTCAGTTGCCCATCCTAGGAACTGAAGTGCCCTCAAACCTGCAGTGTCTCATTTAACAGTTACTATAACATACATTTTATATGTTGAGATTTCTACACAAACTACTAATCATAAACAACACTTGTTAAGGGAACATTTGGAAAGCAAATATCTTTAGTAGAATACAGATTTCCATACAAGATTTCACAGTATTCCAGCCTCTGGAGAGGAAGGGAGAGGGATGCGTTCCTTCCGATTCCCGCCCTTTCTGCGACACCATCAAGTCCTCCCCTAGTCCCCGAGGCAGTTCCGGAAATGCGGGGGCCGAAGGAGAATACATCAAAGTGATGTCATTCGTGACTCCAGAGATGGTTACCATAGCGACTGCCGGACATATTACCCTGTCAGTAGGGTAAGAACCTGTTTAATCCAGTCTTCAGTCAAGGGTTTCCTCAGGGGTTAACCACAGCCTGCAGATTGTGTACTGGCAGCAAAATGTCACCTTGGGGCCCCCCAGCACCAACGCTCCTTAAACCAAGCCCCACAGAGAAGTCATTTCGTTGATGGGAACGTGACTTTGCGGCTTCCTGGGCCGCTACGGTGAAGGACGCCCGCCCTCCCCAGAACTTGAGAGCTTATTGGTTGATGATGTCGTCACTCAGATTAACGTCAGGGGCGAGAAAAGAGACGGAGCCGTAGAGACTTGGCTTCGGGCCCTTCTAGCATGGAGGTACCTTGGAGGACTCGGGAAGGAACTAGGAGGACCTCGGCGGCCGTTCCGCGGAGCCCGGCCGAGGAGGTAGGGGTGGGCAGGCCCAACCCTCAGGCCACGACCTGGTGGGCCGCGCTGCCTTTTTTTCCTCGGGAGCCCGCTCCGTCAGCGCCCGATTCAGGCTCCCTGACAACTTCCAGTTCCCACCGCTCACTCCTAGGCTCCCGACCTCATCCCCGCCCGCGTCCCAGACTCTTGAAGCTCGGTCTCCCCTCCCCCACACAACGCGCTCCTTCTTTCTGTCCCGGGCCCTGCTTCTCCTCGGCTTCATTTCCAACAACCCCAATCGTCCACCAGGGTCGTCGTTCCGGTGCCTGTCCCACCCCCGCACCAAAAAACCAAAGCAAATCCCTCAGACCCCGCCGCATGCAGGCCGCGCGCACACCACGCGCGCCGAGGCCGCCGGCGGAGGAAGCCGAGGGCGCGTTTTGCTCCAGTGTCGTAAGGGGCAAAGCCGAGGGAGCCCGGGAGCAGCGGGCGTGGGGCAGTGCCAATGTGAGTGCGAGTGGTGTCCGCCGCCCGGGAGAGCCCGGGCCCGAGCGGATTAACCGCCGCCTCGGGTCTCGTCTCCCGCCAGCGAAATGCCACCTACCGTTAGTATGGGTCCAGAGGTTCCAAGCGCCTGTTCAAAGTGTCAGCTCTGTCCTTGAGGTTTCTCTCCAGTACAGCCCTTGGAACTCCCTTCCCAGCCGAAAGAGAGCAGAGCTGCCATTGGGAGATGCCAGCTCTTCTGCTGCCCTTCGCCGCCCTTAGCAGAAAAGCGCCCCTGGATGGAGAATGGTTTTGGTGAAAGTTATCTACATATTCAAAACTCAGTTTGGGCTCTGGAGAATCACTAGCAAGGGAAACAGTTTTACCTCCACTTGAGGGAATAGTAGGTTCCATGTCTACCTTCATTCACTGCTACCTAAATTAGATTTGTGGGTACTTCCAATCTTCAGGGTTTGGGACGGCTTGCCTAAATATAGAACAATGCTAACTGAAAAGAAATCCGGGATATTTACTTTCTACCTATATTTTAAGGCTACAAATAGGTGTGTCTTGCTCCACTTTTTAAGTACTTGACAATCATTGAAGTTGCATTACTAGATACTATTGACCAGAAATCAAAATGTCTGAGGACCGTACCATCTTCATGAACGTCATCATCTTAGAGATCATTACCATTTGTTGGGATCTCAAAGTACCATTCTCAAGTCCAGAGCTAAGAAAATATCTACGGTTGTTGGAAATTAGCTTGAAGGAGATTTTGTACCTTGCCTATAAATGTTCTACCTTTGCAATAGTTAAAAACACTTAAATCCTGATGTATGTTAATTGTTGTGTTTTTAAAATACTAAATTGTTTACTTACTCCTTTTGCCTAGGTCCCTATGTTAACTAGTTGAGACAAAAATAAATATGGCCTTCTACAGTTATAATTCAGTCTTAGCTATTGCTCGAACAAGGTAAGCATTGGTGTTACGACCCCCCCCCATATGAACTTCATTTTTTAATTTGAGATGGAGTCTCACTCTGTCACCCAGGCTGGAGTGTAGTGGTGCGATCTCTGCTCACTGCAGCCTCTGTCTGATGGGTTCAATTGATTCTCCCGCCTCAGCCCCGGAGTAGCTGAGATTACAGGTGTTTGCCACCATGCCCGACTAATCTTTGTATTTTTAGTAGAGACCGGGATTCACCATGTTGGCCAGGCTGGTCTGGAACTCCTGACCTCAGGTGATCCGTCTGCCTTTGGCTCCCAATGTACTGGGATTACAGGCGTGAGTCACCTTGCCCAGCCTGAACTTCATCCTTCTAGATGGAAAGGATATGTATAAAGGGATTGGCTTCATACACAATTAAAACTTGCTTGGAGACTGGGCTTGAACCTGGGATGCAGAGGTTGCAGGTTGCAGTAAGCTGAGATTGCTCCATTGCACTCCAGCCTGGGTGACAAGATTAAAACTCTGTCTCAAAAAAGAATAACAAAAAACAAAAACTTGGTTTTTAGGATGTTGACATCTTAATGTATTTAAACTTACAGCAAATTTTCTACGTGCTTTAGAACTCAGGCAGAGTAATTTTGTAGATGTGTGGTACAGGTTAAGATAGAAGATGTAATTTTTTTTCTTTATTTTTATTTTTTGAGACAGAGTCTCGCTCTGTCATGCAGTCTGGAGTACAGTGGCATGATATCTTGACACACTGCAACCTCCACTTTCCAGGTTTAAGAAATTTTCCTGCCTCAGCCTTCCAAGTAGCTAGAATTACAAGCAAGCACCACCACACTGGCTAATTTTTGTATTTTTAGTACAGATGGGGTTTTGCCATGTTGGCCAGGCTGGTCTTGAACTTCTAACCTCAGGCGATCCACCAGCCTCAGCTTCCCAGAGTTCTGGGATTACAGGCATGAACCACTGTGCGTGGCCAGAAGATGTAATGGTTTTAGAGTGACGTATCTTTAATTGATGGATGTCACATGAGGTCCTTAGATATAAAGGGAGTAAAATGGCTGATGGACAAGCCAGTCTTAGGGCATATTTCTATCCCATTAAGGTCTGTTACCATTTATTTATTCACTGAGACTAAATAAAAACTATTCACTGAGCACTTTTCCCTTTTTGGCCATTCAAAGAGTGTTTTATCTTGGCATGCTTTAAAAATAGTCTGAGGCTGGAGCGAGGCGGCTGAGTTGCAGACGCAGAGATGTAGATCTTTCTGAAGACTCTCATGGGCAAGAGCATCACCCTTGAGGTTGAGACTGGTGACACCATTGAGAATGTCACAGCCAAAATTCAAGACAAGGAGGGTATCCCTCTTGACCAGCAGTGTCTGATATTTGCTGGCAAACAACTGGAGGATGGCTGCACTCTCTCAGACTACAACATCCAGAAAGCGTCCACCCTGCACCTGGTTCTGCACCTGGTTCTGCACCTGTGAGGTGGCATTATTGAACCTTCCCTTCGACAGCTCGCCCAGAAATACAACTGCAACAAGATGATCTGCCCCAAGTGCTATGTTCGCCAGCACCCCCGTACTGTCAATTGACGCAAGAAGTGTGGCCACACCCAACAACCTGCTCCCCAAGAAGAAGGTCAAATAAGCCTCTTCCTTCTGGGAAGGGCAGCCTCCTGCCCAGGCCCCATGGCCCTGGAGCCTCAATAAAATGTCCCTTTGGTTGACTGGAGCAGAAAAAAAAAAAAAAAAAAGTAGTCTGAGGCTGGCTGCAGTGGCTTACACCTATAATCTCAGCACTTTGGGAAGTCTAAGCAGAAAGGCAGCTTGAGCCCAGGAGTTCAAGAACAGCCTGGACAACATAGTGAGACCTTATCTCTGCAAAAATTTAAAAAACTATCTGGGTGTGGTGTTGTGGGCCTTTAGTCCCAGCTACTCAGGATGCTGAGCCTGGGAGGTCAAGGCTGCAGTGAGCTGTGATCACACTACTGTACTCCAGCCTGGGTTTTTAACACTTTAAGAACCAAGCCAGGCATGGTACATGTGCCTGTAATCTCAGCTCCTTGGAAGGCTGAAGTGGGAGAATTGCTTGAGCCCAGGGGTTTGAGGCCAGCCTGGGCAACATAGCAAGACCCTGTCTTTTAAACAGAAAGAAAAAAAAAAAGAGCCAGGTGTGGTGGATCATGCCTGTAATCCCAGCACTTTGAGAGACTGAGGGAGGCAGATCACCTGAGGTCAGGAGTTCGAGACCAGACTGGCAAACATGGTGAAACCCCATCTCTACTAAAAATACCAAAATTAGCCGGATGTGGTGGTGGGTGCATGTAGTCCCAACTACTCAGGAGGCTGAGGCAGGAGAATCACTTGAACTGAGGAGGCAGAGGTTACAGTGAGCCTGGATCACGCCACTGCACTCTCGCTTGGGCAACAGAACAAGACAATAGCTCAAAAAACAAGACAAAACAAAACAAATTTTCTTTGCTTTTGTTTTTGGCATGTTCCAAAATAATGAATATTGCATATGCATTTAATTCTGTAGGCTGTTGAGAACTTGTGTTCTCCCACATGAGCCTGGGAGGTCATGGCTGCAGTGAGCTGTGATTATGCCACTGTACTCCAGCCCTCCAGCCTGGGACCCTGGGTGACAGAGGGAGGACCATGCGTGTCTCAAAACAAACAAACAACTGAAAGAATGGAAAAAGCCATCTCTTTTCCAGTCACTTTGTTTGCTTATGTCTGTCATACTTTGATTTTCAAACAATCTGATATGGCAGTTTAACTGCAGACTGTGGGCTGTTGCAATACCAGAATGTAGAGATCCTTAATTGGGGTGCCCAATCCTAATTTTTTTTCTTTTTTGAGATGGAGTCTCGCTCTGTCCCCCAGGCTGGAGTGCAGTGGCACAATCTCATCTCACTGCATCTTCACTTCTTGGGTTCAAGCAATTCTCCTGCCTCAGTGTCCCTAATAGCTTGGATTACAGATGCATGATACCACGCCTGGCTAATTTTTGTATTTTTAGTAGAGATGGGGTTTCACCATGTTGGCCAGGCTGGTCTTGAACTCCTGACCTCAGGTGATCCACCTGCTTCAGCTTCCCAAAGTGCTGGGATTACAGGCGTGAGTCACTGCACCCAGCCCTAATGTTCATGTAGAATTTAGGTGAAGGGTATTTTAGCTGTAAGTGCCTCTCATTTGAGGGGTTCAAAGACACTAAATAGACAAGGCAGTATTACGTGCTTGGCTGATCCCTTCAGCAACCATCAAATGTTTTTTTGAAACAGTATTCCTTGGCCAGACATGGTGGCTCACGCCTGTAATCTCAGCACTTTGGGAGCCCAAGGCAGGAGGTCAGGCGTTTGAGACTAGCCTGGCCATCTTGGTGAAACCCTGTCTCTACTAAAAACTCAAAAATGAGCCAGGCTAGCTACTCAGAAGGCTGAGACAGGAGAATTCCTTAGGCCCAGGAGGCAGAGGTTGTTGTGAGCTGAATTCGCGCCACTGCACTCCAGTGTGGATGACGGAACTGAAAAAAAAAAAAAAAAAGCTATTTTATTTTGACCAGCTGTACTACCTATTTCTTTAATAGTATGTGCTTTGTGATAGTGTGTGCTTTGTAATAGTATGTATTTAACTCAGAGGATGTTGCTCTTCATTCCAGATTCTCCAGCCATTTTGTCCATCCTATCTGCTCTTTTTATTCCCCATCATGTGCATTTCTTCACTTGCCAGATTCCCATTTAAATAAGACATGTCTGGAGAACTATGGGAGCAAGAAGTACTCAGATCCTAGTCATCCAGGCAATACCATACTTCACTCACGAACTAGACTAATACAAAAGCTACACACATCCACTTGCTGGCTGCGAGAGGTTCCTGGCAAACCTCAGCTGGAGCAAGCCACAAAAGATCCACAGGTGACAAGCCCTCAGGCCACAAAAGAAACTGGCGCAAAGATTAAAGAAGGCGAGCAATCTTATAGACAAAAAATCATGGATGAACTTAAATATTATTACAATGGATTCCACTTACTTTGGATTGACACCAAAGTTGCTGCCAGAATGGTTTGGAGGCTATTGCATGGACAGGTCCTGACCAGACGAGAGAGACGAAGGGTAGGCAAGAATCATATTTGAGAAAAAAAATGTGAAATTAAAATGAACTATTGGGAGCTCTAAATTCAACATAAACTTCCTCTTAAACATTCCAGAGTAGGTGGCTGGGCGTGGTGGCTCACGCCTGTAATCCCTGTACTCAGGAGGCTGAGGTGGGCAGATCATAAGATCAGGAGTTTGAGATCAGCTTGACCAACATGGTGAAACCCCTCTCTACTAAAAATACAAAAATTAGCTGGGAATTGTGGCATGCACCTGTAATCCCAGTTACTCAGGAGGCTGAGGCAGGAGAATCACTTAAACCAGGGAGGTGAAGGTTGCAGTGAGCCGAGATCACGCTACTGCACTCCAGCCTGGGTGACAGAGAGAGACTCCCTTTCAAAAAAAAAAAAAAAATCTCAGACTAGGCCAGGCACAGTGGCTCACGCCTGCAATCCCAGCACTTTGGGAATCCAAGGTGGGCAGATCATGAGGTCAGGGGTTCAAGACCAGTCTGGCCAACATAGTGAAACCCTGTCTCTACTAAAAATACAAAAAAAAAAAAGAAAATAGCCAGACATGGTAGTGGGCTCCTGTAATCCCAGCTACTTGGGAGGCCTCCCCGGTCCCGGTTCAAGCAATTCTCCTACCTCAGCCTCCCGGGTCCCAGCTCAAGCAATTCTATCTCAGCCTCCCGGGTCCCGGTTCAAGCAATTCTCCTATCTCAGCCTCCCAGGTCCTGGTTCAAGCAATTCTCCTATCTCAGCCTCCCAGGTCCTGGTTCAAGCAATTCTCCTACCTCAGCCTCCCAAGTAGCTGGGATTACAGGCACAAGCCACCATGCCCAGCTAATTTTTGTATTTTTTAGTAGAGACAGGGTTTCACCATGTTTGCCACTCTGGTCTTGAACTCCTGACCTCAGGTGATCTACCCACCTCACCCTCCCAAAGTGCTGGGATTATAGGCATGAGCTACGGCCTGTAGAATGGTTTTTTTTTTAACAAACTTTTATTTTAGGTTCAGGGGTACATATACATGTTTGTAGAATGGTTATAATTGTGTTTTTTAATCTCTCCAAGAAGTTGAGAGGCTTCATGTTTGAAGTATTGTTAATTATTAAGCATATGCATTTTAAAACCCAATTTTGGGAGGGCATAATGACTCACACCTGTAATCTCAGCACTTTGGGAGGCAAGGGTGGGCAGATCACTTGAAGTCAAATGTTCGAGACCAGACTGGCCAACATGGTGAAACCTTGTCTCCTAAAAATACAGACATTAGCCAGGCATGGTGGCATGTGCCTATAGTCCCATCTACCCAGGAGGCTGAGGTAGAAGAATGGCTTGAACCTGGGAGGCAGAGCTTGCAGTGAGCTGGGATTATTCCACTGTACTCCAGCCTGGGAGACAGAATGAGACTGTGTCTCAAAAAAACAAACAGGGGCCGGGCGCGGTGGCTCAAGCCTGTAATCCCAGCGCTTTGGGAGGCTGAGGCGGGTGGATCACGAGGTCAAGAGATCGAGACCATCCTGGTCAACATGGTGAAACCCCATCTCTACTAAAAATACAAAAAATTAGCTGGGCATGGTGGCGTGTGCCTGTAATCCCAGCTACTCAGGAGGCTGAGGCAGGAGAATTGCCTGAACCCAGGAGGCGGAGGTTGCGGTGAGCCGAGATCACGCCATTGCACTCCAGCCTGGGTAACAAGAGCGGAACTCCGTCTCAAACAAAACAAAACAAAAAACAAACAACACCCCAATTTGAAGTGGTACTATGCTATTAAAGTATGGACCCTCTAACGTAATAAAGTCTAGGAGATGCCAATAATATTTTTATTATCATAGATTTCCTTCAAGATATCCAATAAAAATAAATTCAGAGCTATGGTAAACAGGAAAACCCTGCCTTTTCATTTTATAAACAGTTGCAGAAAACCTGTCTTGGGGTTTTAACACTTTAAGAACCAATCTGAGCATGGCACATATGCCTGTAATCCCAGCTCCTTGGGAGGTGGGAGGATTTTTTGAGCCCAGGAGTTTAAGGCCAGACTGGGCAACATAATGCAACACTCTCTTGAAAGAAAGAAAGAAAGAAAGATGAACCAAAACAGGTTTTTGTTTGTTTTTGGTGTGCCCTAAAATAATGAATATTGCATGTGCATTTAATTCTATAGCTGTTGAGAACTTGTGTTGATTTCTTCCGCCTGGTTCCATTTATGGTGTTCATAATTGTACCCTTCATGGAATTCTTATTACCAGTGTTTCTGAAACTCTTCCCAGAGATGTTGCCATCAACTTTTGAAAGTGAATCCAAAAAGGTATGTAGGATTTTTTAACTTTAACAAAATTTAATAACCTTTATTAGAGGAGTTTTTAGGTTTACAGAAAAATTGGGCAGAAAGTACTACTTCTCCCCACCCTACCCTGTCACAATTTCTCTGGTAATTAATATCTTGAATTAGTGTGGCATATTTGTAACAATTAAAGAACCAAGACTGATATTTTATTATTAAAGCTCATACTTTAGGGTTCACTCTTTATGTTGAAACAGTTCTGTGGGCTTTGCAAATGCATAAGGTCATGTATCCACCGTCACAGTATCATACTCAATAGTTTCACTGCTCTAGGCACAGAAGCTTATGTCTGTAATTCCAGCACTTTGGGAGGCTGAGGCAGGTAGATTGCCTGAGCCCAGGAGTTTGAGACCATCCTGGGCACCATAGAGAGACTCAATTTCCACAAAAAACAAAAAAACTAGTTAGGCATGATAGGTCATACCTGTGGTCCCAGTTCCTTGGGAGGCTGGAGCAAGAGGATCACTTGAGTCCAGGAGGTCGAGGCTGCAATGACCTATGATAGTGCCACTGCACTCCAGCCTGGGAAACAGAGGAGGACCCTGTCTTAAAAAAACATCCCCATGCTCCACCTATTTGTCCCTCCCTCTTCCTCCCCAACTCAGGGCAGCCACTGATCTTTTTTTTGTCTCTGTAGTTTTGCCTTTTCCAGAATGTCATATAGTTGGGATCACACAGTGTGTAGCCATTTTAGATTGGCTTCCTTCACCTAGCAATATACATTTCAAGTTCTTTTCATGGCTCAATTCTTTTTATCACTGAATGATAGTCCATTGTTACGGCTGTAACACAGTTTGTTTATCCATTCTCCTATGAAAGGACACCTTGATTGCTTCTAGTTTTTGGCAATTATGAATAAAAGTTCTGTAAACACTATGTACAGGGTTTTTTTGTTGTTGTTTGAGACAGAGTTTTGCTTTTGTTGCCCAGGCTGGAGTGCAATGGTGCAAACTCGGCTTACCACAACCTCTGCCTCCCAGGTTCAAGTGATTCTCCTGCCTCAGCCTCTCAAGTAGCTGGGATTACAGGCATGCACCACCACACCCAGCTAATTTTGTATTTTTAATAAAGACAGGGTTTCTCCATGTTGCTCAGGCTGGTCTCAAACTCCCAACTTCAGGTGATCTGCTCGCCTGGGCCTCCCAAAGTGCTGGGAGTACAGATGTGAGCCACTGCGCCTGGCCTTATGTACAGCTTTTCTGTGTAGATGTAAGCTTTCAACTCACTGGCATAAATGCCTAGGAGAGTAATTGGTGGATTGTACAGCAAGACTATGTTTAGCTTTTAAGAAATTGTTAAACTGTCTCCTGAAGTGGCTATATTATTCTATATTCTCACCAGCAATGAATGAGAGTTCCTGTGGTTCCACATCTTCACCAGCATTTGATGTCAGTGCTCTAGACATTTGCTACGAAATAGATGTGTAGTGGTATCTCATTGTTTTAATTTGTAATCTCCTGATGTCATATGATGTTGAGTATCTTTCCTGTGCTTATTTACCATCTGTGTATCTTCTTCGGGGAGGTATCTGTTTATATCTTTGGTTGACTTTTTTTTTTTTTTTTTTTTGAGAATGAGTCTCACTCTGTCACCCAAGCTAGAGTGCAGTGGTACAATCTCAGCTCACTGCAGCCTCTGCTTCCCAGGCTCAAGTGATTCTCCTGTGTCAGCCTCCCGAGTAGCTGGGATTAGAGGTGTCCACCATCACACCCAGCTAAGTTTTGTATTTTTAGTAGAGGCAGAGTTTCACCATGTTGGCCAGGCTGGTCTCGATTTCCTGACCTCAGATGATCTGCCCGCCTTGGCCTCTCAAAGTGCTAAGATAACAGATGTGAACCACTGTGCCCAGCTGAGTTAATTTTTATAAAAAGTGTAATGTCAGTATCTAGATTCATCTCTCTCTCTCTCTCTCTTTTTTTTTTTTTTTTTTTGAGACACCAGGCTAGAGTGCAGTGGTGCCATCTTGGCTCACTGCAACCTCTGCCTCCCGGGTTCAAGTGATTCTCCTGCCTGAGTCTCCCAGGTAGCTGGGACTACAAGCACGTGCCACCGTGCCTGGGTAATTTTTTGTATTTTTAGTACAGACAGGGTTTCACTGTGTTAGCCAGGATGGTCTCAATCTTCTGACCTCATGATCCACCTGCCTCAGCCTCCCAAAGTGCTGGGATTACAGGCATGAGCCACCGTGCCCAGCCTTATTTCTCTGTTTTTTTTTTTTTTTTTTCTTTTTTTTTAATGTGGATATCTAGCTTTTGTAGCACCATTAGTTGAAAAGATTTTCTCTTCTTCACTAAATTCTAACTTGATTTTAACTGTTAAAAGAATAAAGAGAACAGGCTGGATGCTGTGGCTCATCCCTGTAATCCCAGCACTTCGGGAGGCCAAGGTGGGAGGATTGGGTGAACCCAAGAGTTCAAGACCACCCTGGGCAATATAGCGAGATTCCTCTCTACAAAAAAATTTAAAACAAATTAACCAGGTGTGGTAGCATGTACCTGTATTCCCAGCTACTTGGGAGGCTGAGGTGGGAGGATTGCTTGAGCCCAGGAGGCTGCAGTGAACTGAGATCATGCCACTGCACTGCACTCCAGCCTGGGCAGGAGTTAAAAAAATAAATAAATAAAATAAAAAGAATAAAGAAAACAGAAGTCCATTGTTACCACAGTGACGAGGTTTGATTTAGCCCAACAGACCGTTCAGCAGCCCCTGAGAAGAATGAGCCTTCATTGAGTGTGGCAGTCACTGTGCAGGTGAGAAAACAGAGGCAGCTCCTTCCTTCTCATCCTTCTGTGCCACTCTACTAGATAGCGTATGGTAAGGAGGTGTGAACAAAACATTACGAGAGGACAAAGAGGGCAACTTTTACATCAGTAAGGTTGGGAAATTTTTCACAGAAAAGGTAACTTTGGAACTGAGACTTAAAGAGTAAGTGGGATTTTACCACAGTCTGGGAAAGGTATTCTGGATAAAAGAAATAGCATTTAACATGGCTCAGTGGCATAAGAGAGTATAATGTAGTCAGAGACCACTGGTTGGTTATTTGCGGTTGAAGTAGGCAGTTCCATGGTGTCAGTGACAGGAAACAGACAAAGTGATGTGTTGGGATCAGGTTGGAAGGCATCCACCTGCTTAAGGAATTTAGGCTTTCTCATGGTGAATAATAGAAAGGGAAATTTGAAGCAGGGTAGCTGGGTAGATGACATGATTAGATCTGTGTTTTGGAAGAATAATTTTGCTGGCAGCAGAGGGCAGAGCCAAGGAAGGGAAACCAGCTGGAATCATAGCCCAAGAGAGAGGTGGCAGAGACTACATTATGAAATTGACAATAAGAATAAAGATTTCAAGGCCGGGTGCGGTGGCTCCTGACTTTGGGAGGCAGAGTCGGGTGGATCATTTAAGGTTAGGAGCTCAGTATGAGCCTGGCCAACATGGTTAAACCTCGTCTCTACTAAAAGTACAAAAATTAGCTGGGCATAGTGGCACACACCTGTAGTTCCAGCTACTTGGGAGGCTGAGACGGTAGAATCATTTGGATCCAGGAAGTGGAGGTTGCTATAAGCCGAGATCATGCCACTGCACTCCAGCCCAGGTGACAGAGTGAGATCCCATCTTAAAAAAAAAAGACTTGAAGATAAATTTGGGATGCCTACACAAGATAAAATCAAATTATAATATTTGACTGCCTGGCAATGGTTTAATTTGCTTACATGTAAAATAACCAGCATCTAGGCTGGGCACGGTGGCTCATGCCTGTACTCCTAGCACTTTGGGAGGCCGAAGTGGGTGGATCACCTAAAGTCAGGAGTTCAAGACCAGCCTGGCCATCATGGTGAAACCCCATCTTTAAAAAAAAAAAAAGTATCAGCATCTAGAATTAATGCCATAACATTTCAAGGAAAAATATCAGTGAATTCAGGAAGACAGGAATAGAGGAAGTGATTTATTTAAACGTTACCTCTTTCCTGAACACCACTTATTCCCTAAAACATACAAATATGTCTACATCATAGCCACAGTCTTAGAAAATTCTTGTTTGCTTTGTTTCATGGAGAGAGGAGCTTTCTGTTTATATCAGATCACAGTACCAGGCATTTCTCTTTCATAGCACTTACCCATTATGCTTCTCTATTAATATGAGGAATTACTGGATTATCATTCATTAGTCACTAATGTTTGTCTCTCCCACTACACTAAAAGTTCCATGAGGGCAGGAATTCTTTTTTTTTTTTTTGAGATGGAGTTTCACTCTTGTTGCCCAGGCTGGAGTCCAGTGGTTTGATCTTGGCTCTCTGTCCTCCCAGGTTTAAGCGATTCTCCTCAGCCTCCTGAGTAACTGGTATTACAGGCATGTGCCACCATGCCCGGTTAATGTTTGTATTTTTAGTAGAGATGGGGTTTCACCATGTTGGCCAGTCTGGTCTTAAACTCCTGACCTCAGGTGATCCACCAACCTCAGCTTCCCAAAGTGCTGGGATTACAGGCGTAAGCCACTGCTCCTGGCCACTGAGTGGTTTCCAACCATGGTATTGCCATTGTGTGATTTTTTTTTTTTTTTTTTTTTTTTTTTTTTTTTTTTGGTCTACATCCTTTAAGATCTATCCAAAAATCAGTGATTCCTATGACTGGCTGATCATTAGAATCTCCTAGGCAACTTAAAAATATACACAGATTCCTGTTCTTTACTGCCATGAGTCCTGACTGTGGTTATTTTGAAAATGCTACCATACTACATTTCTGATGATGAACAAGGATTAAGACATACTAGTCAACAGTGTCCTACGAGTGTCCATTTACTTTTCTTCTGTGTAGTGTTGTTTATGTCTGTTAGAGCACTTAACTTACTGTATTGTAATTACTTATGTCTGTTTTCTAGTTAAACTATAAGCCACATTAGTGTACAGTCCATTTTTTAGTTTTCTTTGTAAAGCAAAACCCAGGGCCACTCAAACAAGGAGTTGGCTCAACTGGCAGCCTGGATGGTTTGCACCAGGTTAAAGATAGTATCTCATTCTTGTCTGGGCGCTGTGGCTCAAGCCTGTAATCACAGTACTTTGGGAGGCTGAGATGGGCGGATCACTTGAGGTCAGGAGTTTAAGACCAGCCTGGCCAAAATGGTGAAACCCTTCTCTACTAAAAATGCAAAAATTAGCCGACTGTGGTGGTGCGCACTTGTGATGGTGCGCACTTGTGATCCCAGCTATTCGGGAGGCTAAGGCAGGAGAATTGCTTGAACCAGGAGGCGGAGATTGCAGTGAGTTGAGATGACCTCTGCACTCCACCCTGGGTGATAGAGCAAAACTCCTCCCAAACAACAACAACAACAAAGGCCGGGCATGGTGACTCATGCCTGTAATCCCAGCACTTTAGGAGGCCGAGGTGGATCACCTGAAGTCAGGAGTTCAAGATCAGCCTGACCAAGATGGAGAAACCCCATCTCTACTAAAAATACAAAAAATTAGCCGGGTGTGGTGGTGCATGCTTGTAATCCCAGCTACTTGGGAGGCTGAGGCAGAAGAATTGCTTGAATCTGGGAGGCGGAGGTTGTGTTGAGCCAAGTTGCACCATTGCACTCCAGCCTGGGCAACAAGAGTGAAACTCTGTCTCAAAAAAAAAAAAATTAGCCAGGTGTGGTAGCACACACCTATAATCCCAGCTATTCAGGAGGCTAAGGCAGGAGAATTGTTTGAGCCCAGGAGGTGGGGGTTGTGGTGAGCCAAGATTGTTGCCACTGCACTCCAGCCTGGGTGACAGAGTGGGACTTTGTCTCAAAAAAAAAATATATATATATGTATGTATAGTATCTCATTCTAAATAATGATAAAGATAAAGCCTCCCAATGGGTGAACATTTTGGATCTATTACATGCTTATGATTACAAAATGTAAGGAGACAACTTCCAAATAGAGGCTTCTTTTTACTTGCTCTGGTCTCACCAACCCATTCAGCTAAGCCTGAGCATCATGTGACTACATGATGTAGGGATGAGCAATAACAAGGAGACAGCGATTTTTCTCCCATCTTTATCTACCAATTTGCAATCATGAAGGCTTGAGTAACTTTTACTCTTCTACCATTAAGGAAGAAAAACAGAAAAAGAAAATGGCTGCAAAGTTGGAAATAGCAAAATTTCTTCAAGAAACCATGACAGAAATGGCAAGGAGGAACAGAGCCAAGATGAATGATGCTTCTACACGGCTCTCATCCTACGTGAAGCAGGTGTCCATCTTTTATGTAATGCCAAACAACTTCGGGGCTGGGAGTTATATCAAAAACACATGTCCTCATGGATTTCCCAAATTGTTCACCATCTTTGAAATTGCAAATATCTAAATTATGAACATAATTAGTTATTGTAAACATGTAATATTATAAACATTGATAGTAGTTTGCAGATAAGCCTGCCTTAAAGTAATCAACATGTTGAAGACCTTGATAACTTCTTGGAAACAACAGTAGATTTCGAGTTAAACTTCTGAACTACTGATTCTTCAGCTGATATAGTTTGACTTCAGACAGATATCTTTTCTGTATACTATGAGGCCCATTTCCATATCAGACAGAGTCCCATAAATGCTTTGACGTCTCTTTCAAATAGCCTAGTGGGAAAGTTAAATTAAGTAGGAAACACATTTTAATTGGCCTCTTTGTCCCACTGCCTAGGTCCAGACAGGCCACAAGCCCAGCACAAAGGAGATAGTTCAATTTTCCAAACTATTTGAGGACCAGCTAGCCCTGGAGCACCTAGATCGCCCTCAGCTGGTTGCCCTTTGCAAACTGCTGGAATTGCAGACTTTTGGAACCAACAACCTGCTACGCTTTCAGCTCCTGATGAAACTGAAGTCTATAAAAGCAGATGATGAAGTAAGAACTTAACCATAGCTCTAGGGAATTAGCAAGGTTTTAGGAGATACCTTAGGGTGCCTATGGGATGAAGTGTGCAGTATTTTTTGTTTTTGTTTTTGAGGCGAAGTCTCACTCTGTCGCCCAGGCTGCAGTGGCGCAATCTTAGCTGATTGCAACCTCCACCTCCCAGGTTCAAGCAATTCTCCTGCCTCAGCCTCCCAAGTATCTGGGAGTTCAGGCATGCACCACCACACCCGACTAATTTTTGTATTTTTAGTAGAGATGGGAGTTTCACTATGTTGGCCAGGTTGGTCTTAAACTCCTGGCCTCAGGTGATCCACCCGTCTCGGCCTCCCAAAGAGCTGGGATGACAGGCGTGAGCCACTGCGCCTGGCCAGAAGTGCAGTATTTTCTGTTGGGTCTAGTCATGTTGAGTTCTAGCAAAATTAGTGGTTTAAACAACTATAACTATGACAACTTGAACCTTGATTATTCATTTGAGGAGTTGTCATCCTCTTCCTCATTTTCTTGAGAAGGCCATCATAAGCAGTTAGCAATTTGGATATCTTAGCAGAGACTCATCTAGAGCAGTTAGGTTCTGCTGGGAAGGAAATAACAGCTCAGTAGATTCCTGACAAATCTCTGCTCCCACACTTCTGCTTTCATACTGGGAAGCTGGTGCCAAAGTCAATATTCTGCCTGGTGCATTGGCCTGCCAAGAAGGGGTAGTTGGCTTGGTATGCAAAGCATAATGCTGGGAGGAAAAGCAGAGCCTCAACACCTTGTAGAAGAAAGGCATCCTTGGACTATAACTACTAATTAGGCTTTTTAAAAAAATGGACGGAATGTTTCTTGACTCAGAATCAGCTGATTTAAAAGCATTTTGCCCGGGGGAGCAGGTTTCCCAGAACTGAGAACACATGATCCCTTTGGCCCCATTTAGATTTCAGTTGTTGCTCTTAGAACTTTGGAATAAATACTGGCCCCAGAAATACCATCATGTTGGGTTATGCCAAGCAGAAACTGTTGAAAAAACATGCGCTTTGAATGAAGAGACATTCCAAACAGGCTTTGTGTGAGCAACATGGCTGTTTATTCACCTGGGTGCAGGCGGGCTAAGGCAGGAAAGGGCATTAGCAAAGGGCAGTGGGATAGGAGTTGGTTTTATAGGTTTGGGTAGTTTTTTGGGGAGTGGGGGTGTTGCAGAATAAGATCAGTTATAGTGGTGGGGGGTAGGGGCAAAGGAGTATACATGACCACAGGTTCAGTTACAATGGCAGGGTTGGGTGAGAGGTATTTACATTCTCATAAGAACAGTTAAGATGGCAGGATTGGGTGAGGGGCTTGTCTATGGAAGTGATCAGGGACAATGGCGAACTCAGGCAGGGGTGGGAGACATCAGCTGGGGCAGGCAGGACTTCAGATTTTTGGGCTCCAGGCTTGCATATGGAGACCTGACATAAACTGTAGTATATACTGAGGGAGTTTTATGAACCAGTGTGTCAGGGCCATTTCTGGGGTTGATGGGAGGGCAGCAGGGGAGACCACTACAGGGACATGCAACAAATGGTATATTGTAAGCTTTTCAAGTGAACTACTTTTTTCTGATGAACCATAAAACTGCCATGAAGAGAAAAGTAGGTATGCCACAACCAGACAAAATGCAGATGAAGAGGGGAAATAATTACTCTGATGACAGAATGTTGGGGAGGAGTTGTATAAATATCTCTGATGTTGCTAATACCTGTTGGCAGGATTCCCATTATTTCAACTGCTACCTCCCTACTTCACCTTTGCAGCAACAGCCAGTGCAGAGGATGAAGTATCCAAGCCTCCAACTCTGTTCCCACTGATTTGCTGGAATTTAGGGATTATGTAAAATTGGAATCAAAAGCTCCAACTCCATCCCTTACATTTCTTTCAGATAATTGCCAAGGAAGGGGTGAAGGCATTGAGTGTATCAGAACTACAGGCTGCCTGTAGAGCCCGAGGGATGAGATCACTGGGTCTCACGGAGGAACAATTGCGACAACAGCTCACAGAGGCAAGTAGCAGCACCCCTCCAGGACCCTCTTCCCCAGAACGCTCCCCCCTACAATATGCAAACCTCTTCATGTGATTTCTCTTTTGCCAGTGAACCATCTTACATGATTTGCCTTATTTCATTGAGCAGTGGGATACTGAAGAACTAGGTTGATTTTTTCCCTTTGATTGAGATCAGGTACTCTATCAGTTTTCTATTGCTGCCTAAGAACCATGAACTTGGTGGCTTAAAATCAGTGTATTAGCTCACAGTTGGTAGGTCAGAAGTGTAGGCTGTATTCCTTTGGAGGCTGTGGGAAACAACCTGCTTCCACGTTCTTTGCTTGTTGGCTGAACTTAGTTCCTTGCAGCTGTCGGATTGAGGTCTTTGTTTCACAGCTGGCTGTGAGCCCCAGGCTACTCTCAGCTCCTAGCGACCACCTGTATTCCTTGCTTCTTGGCCCCCTCCATCTGCAAAGCTGGCATCAGAGGACTTCTCACATGCCAGAGCCTCCTCGTGCTTGAAATCTCCAGTTTCCACCGTGTTTGACCTCTAGCCCCAAATTTATGGTCTCATGTGATTAGGTGAGGCCCATCCAAATAATCTCCCTCTCTTAAGGTCAACCGACTTGGGACCTCAATTACATCTGTAAAATCCTTTCATACAGTGCCCAGAATACTGTTGAGTAACTAGAGGGTGTGGGTACCCCAGGGACAAGGTGTCTTGGGGCCACCTTAGAATTTTACCTACTCCACGTAGTATAAAGAAAGGGTCCTGGCAAAAATTTCAGTTCAAGGCCTGTCATCTGTGTGAATCTGTCTGGGGGTCCCCACTTTGCCTGGTGGCCCACCTGGGGCTGTTTTTCAATTAGTGCCCCAAACCAACACACGCTGTGGTAACCCGTTTAATATTTTTCCTCAGATAGCATATTTATATTTTAAGTAAGAACATCAATGCTTTAAAACAAAGGAGTAACTCCTATTACATTTCATTCCTATCATTGTTAAAAATTCCATGAAGTACGTGCAGATGGTGTTAGGATAGCCGCCATGGTGTGGCTTGGAAATCATGGGCTGGGGGAATGGAGGCGATGGGAAGCTATCACTGAGGGAGGCGCTAGATGACCACAGGTTCCTCCAGCTCTGGTGTTCTGTGATTCTCACAATGTTGTTCCCCTCCCATTCTCCAGTGGCAGGACCTCCACCTGAAGGAGAACGTCCCTCCTTCCCTTTTGCTCCTGTCCCGTACCTTCTACCTGATAGATGTGAAGCCCAAGCCAATTGAGATACCACTCAGTGGAAAGGTGAGTACCTGGGTTAATGTGGACCCTCGACATCCATCCAACTGAGGCCTCTCCATAAATGCTTGGTGTACTCTTGCAGTCAGAGCAGGCATTTCTTTTGGCCTTTTAGAATTTGGCCCAACTAGCTTTATATGTTTATGTTTTAAAAATTCCCAAAAATACACACAAAACAAAAATAAAGGCTAGATGTGGTGGCTTGCACCTGTAATCCCAGCACTTTGGGAGGCCGAGACGGGTGGATCACCTGAGGTCAGCAGTTTGAGACCAGCCTGACCAACATGGTGAAACCCCATCTCTACTAAAAATACAAAAATTAGCTGGGTGTGGTGATGCACACCTATAATCCCAGCCACTTGGGAGGCTGAAGCAGGAGAATTTTTGTGTTTTTAGACGGGGTTTCTCCATGTTGGTCAGGCTGGTCTCAAACTCCTGACCTCAAGTGATCCGCCTGTGTCAGCCTCCCAAAGTGCTGGGATTACAGGTGTGAGCCAGCACACCTAGCCAGGAGTAGTTTATTCCTTTTCCTTAATCTATCTAATCTTCATTAGCAGATTGGTGTGACTGGTTGTGTGTGTCTGTGTGTTTCTGCTGCTTTCTCCTTTTAGACTGAACAGTTCCTGTTCTATTTCATTTGTCCAGATTCCTATTAATATTTAAGCATTGATCGGCTAATCTAGATTGTCCTTCGACTCACTTCCTTAATCATTTTCCTTCATGGTGTTGTATGGAAGAGGACAGGATTGGCCCAGTCATTACAGCATCTTGCTCTGGGCCCATCAGAAAGGGCCTCCTGCTTCTCTAGCTGGTGGCTTCCTGTCTGACTCAGAACCCTGCATGAGTAGGAAAGGAAAGACTCTTGTAGAAGATGCTACACTGTGGTTTAGGTGATCAGTCCAAGTGCTAAGTGAGGACCAGTCATTTTACATCTTTTTTTTTTTTTGAGACTGAGTTTCGCTGTTGTTACCCAGACTGGAGTGCAATGGCACGATCTCGGCTCACTGCAACCTCCACCTTCTGAGTTCAAGCAATTCTCCTGCCTCAGCCTCCTGAATAGCTGGGACTACAGGCATGCACCACCATGCCCAGCTAGTTTTTGTATTTTTAGTAGAGACAGGGTTTCACCTTGTTGACCAGGATGGTCTTGATCTCTTGACCTCGTGATCCACCCGCCTCGGCCTCCCAAAGTGCTGGGATTATAGGCGTGAGCCACTGTGCCCAGCCCATTTTACATCTTAATTAGATGTAATTGAGACAAGTCTTGGACAAGCCAAGGAAAATTATTTGAAGTCCAGTATGAAAACTCGACTTCAGGAAACACCATCTTGCTTTCCATTTTCATATCTGATTTTGGGATTTGTCCAGGAAAAATTCTAGGGAGACTGGGAGCAGTTTTAGAGTATAGACCATGTTCTAAAAGGCAGGGTAGTGGGTTCTTATTCTGTCCAACTCTTGGATCCATTCATTCGAGACAGACCAAAATTAATTGTCATTCTTAGATTGCTCTAGAGGCAATAAAATCTTGGAGGAGTTGTCTCAGCTAAATTTGGGTTCTCAGAATTATTCTAGAGAGCCATAAACTCTTTATCCAGATATTGCTTTCTGGTATGGGTGAAAAAGGAATTAAGGACAAAATGATTAGCGCCTAAGCATTTTATTGGCTTTTTCCCCACCCAAATATTTAAACTTCTATTCTACATGTAGATATACAAAATGAGAACAAGTAGCATGGTAGGTTCTGTGAAGAACAGAGAGACATCAAATCGAATATACTGTAATATAGCTACCTATTCTATCACCACCCCCATTCTGATCGTTATCTATTTTAATACCACCCCTCTCCCCATCTTCCTTGTGTTACAGGATTTAGTAAGTCAGGCAATTTTATCATTTATTATTAGATACTAAAAATGATAGATGCAATTTAGACCAAGTTATATCAATGCTATTAGAAAATGATAATTGAGGCCAGGTGTGGTGGTGGCTCATACCTGTAATCCCAGCACTTTGGGAGCCTGAGGCAGTTGGATCACCTGAGGTCAGGAGTTCAAGACCAGGCTGGCCAACATGGTAAACAACCGTCTCTACTAAAAATACAGAAATTAGTAGCTGGTCATGGTGGTGGGCGCTTGTAATCCCAGCTACTCAGGAGGCTGAGGTAGGGATAATTGCTTGAACCCAGGAGGTGGAGGTTGCAGTGAGCTGAGATCATGCCACTGCACTCCAGCCTGGGTGACAGAGCGAGGCTTTGTCTCTAAAAAAAAAAAAATAAAATAAAAAAATAAAATAAAATGACAACTGAGAAATGGCTTTTTATTTTTGAGGCCGACAGCAGGATCAGTATTGGCAAATTAGTGGATTGCTAATGAATGAGTATTTTAAATACTAGAATGAAATGAGAGTGTAACTTTTGTATATAAAGTACTCAAGACTCAGTGAAATAATACTAAGTTGCTATGTCAGGGGCATATTTCCTATGTTACTCATAAAGGGTATAGTTGGAGGAGGAAGTTAGGGATTTAGTGGAAAGCAAATTGTGCTAAAAAGGGTACTGACTACCGTAAAAGAGTTTCTGAGTTTTAGGAAGAGCAGAAAGCTTATGATATATAAAATGTTTCTCTCCCCAGGCTTTAAAGACAGATATTCTTGTGGAATTACCTACTTTCACTGAATCTAAAGAGAACATGGTGGATCTTGCACCTCAACTGAAGGGGACTGTTAGATGGTTACTTTCCATTTGGTTAATTAGACTAAAAAATGAAAATAGCAATAGGTCAGTTTCTCCTGTTTTAATCCCCTTAATGAAATTGAAATTCAATACAATGTTCCTTAATAAGGAACATTTATTGTACTGTTTGATGGGTTTCTAAGGAAGCTTAATATTCTGTAATAGGTCTCAGATTTTGCCTTTTGAATCCTGTGCCAGGATATGAAGTCGTTGTAACAAGTTCCTGGTAGTCAAGGCAGTGGACCGTAGATTAATACACATTTTGTTTTAAATCAGTAACCCAACTCTAAGTTCTGATGTTTAAGGATGAAGACTTTATACAGTCGCCACCAGTTACATCATCACCCACAACACCATCAACACCTCTTTCATTACCTAAAGGATCCATCACTACTTCTAAAGAAGCTGTAAGTATCTTTAATAAAAGACAAAGAAAGAGAAAACTCTTTCCCTCTAGTTATCTTTAAGGGTAGTGAGAATCTAGAATTAGTCCTATTGCAAAACACTGCACAATTCTTCCTGTTGTCCAAACAGGAAATTGTAGGCCGAACTTTAGTCATCTTATAACCACTATGTTTTTTATTTCAGCTATCCAAAAGCAGAAAAAAAAAAATCCACCAATACAATTGTGGGTCAGACAAAAACATGCCAAGCGTAGAAGCCAATTATAATAGGCAGACCCTTTTTTTAATGTGCTAGATGGAAATAGTTTCTATGTGTTGTGTATTTTACACAGGCTTCTGATGTCAGGAAATACTAGCAGGAAAGCAAATTTCAGGAGAAATGCATGTAAATAAGAAATTACTTATCGAATCCAGTTTTCCCATTTGTGTGAAGGGATTTGGGGCAAGAGCACAGGGCATGACACAGAGCACAGAGTAAACAGTGAGGAGGGAGACTGTGGAGAGCTGAATTGGGAAGTGGCTCTTGTAGACCAAAGACGCTCCGGGTAGGACAGAGAATCTATGAAGACACAAATGGGTAAGCCCAGAAAAGCATCCAAGGCACACATAGACCTTGTTTTTTGTACATCCTCTTTATCTTTTATCATCAAGGTAAATTATAATCCTGAGATTATAAGGTAAATTATAGTCCTGAGATTTGACTTTGTGGTCTGTCACTATTTTGATTAAGAAAACAAAAAAGGGATTCACTCCTAAAGAATTTATAAGTCTAATTGTGACTAATGCCTACAGTCCTTATGTTTTTTACGCCTAGACACTCCAGGCCAAATCACAAAAGACAGAACAGCAAGGCTAGTTCAAAGGAGCATAAGGACTACTTGAGGATGGAGCTCACTCTCTCCAGCTTCTGGCCCTCAACAGTGGAATTTTTAAAGGACCTCCCAGCTAAAACTCTGGCTTCAGAGTGAGGATCAGCCGTTTAGCCCATGGGATAGTCCTTTGAGGCCTTGTAACCATTCCAGGTGATGTGAGTAGTGAGACCAAGTTCAGATCATTTAGAAAAATATAATTGCAAAGTCCCATTCCTCTGCACCATTACTACCCCACTCAACCTTGTGTAAAGCCCACCCCCCACCATTTTGTTTTTTAACAGCTTCTTGTGTACATCCTTTGAGAGAGGAAATTTTTTTGCATAATGGAATCAGATTTCTCTGTCTCCTATGGCTTGGAATTCTAAGTAAGAACTTGGAAGCTCCAAAAACCATTTTAAAAGCACCTGATTAACTTTCTGAATGACCTATCAGTAGGATCAGCACCCTGGAAACAAAGTACCTTATGAGATGGGATGGATATACTCCTCAGTAAGATCTTTTCTGGATATAATGAAGAGAAGCTTCTTGCAGAAAATGGAGAGTTAAACATTAGCAAGCAGAAAAGATATGGCTGCTTAGTTGTTCTGACATCCTCCTCTTGGGCCTGCAGAGGCTGCAGGAATCTGAGCCACTCTTCTAGCACATATGGCTTTCATTAGCCACCATTTTGCGAGGAAGCGTAATTAAGGGTTTAAACCTTAACCATTTGTTTGTGTTGGGGGCGTGTTTCTGGTTAGTTTGTCTTTCACAAACAAGACTATTAGTCATAGGGGTTGTTAAGGTCTGCTATAATCCCTGTACTACCCAGCAACAAGTATTACATTAGGAAACTTATGTTTGGTGTTTTCAGGATTGCTAATACTACGTAACAGACAGATTGCCAGGCAGCCAAGAGTTTTCTTCCCTTGGGGAGTGGTTAGAAACATCTGCTTGCCAATGTTTAACTCTCCATTTTCTGCAAGAAGCTTCTCTTCATTATATCCAGAAAAGATCTTACTGAGGAGTATATCCATCCCGTCTCATAAGGTACTTTCAGTCTGTAGGTGATAAAATTAGATTTACTTGCCGTGGTTAGATGGCAGTCAGTTCAAACGAAATTCAACTGTCCTGTCTGGGATTACCTAAATGTGAATGTCACCAGCACTTCAAGAATATCCACTCTACAGGGGCCGGGCGCGGTGGCTCAAGCCTGTAATCCCAGCACTTTGGGAGGCCGAGGCGGGTGGATCACGAGGTCAAGAGATCGAGACCATCCTGGTCAACATGGTGAAACCCCGTCTCTACTAAAAATACAAAAAATGCTGGGCATGGTGGCGCATGCCTGTAATCCCAGCTACTCGGGAAGCTGAGGCAGGAGAATTGCCTGAACCCAGGAGGCGGAGGTTGCGGTGAGCCGAGATCGCGCCATTGCACTCCAGCTTGGGTAACGAGTGAAACTCGGTCTCAAAAAAAAAAAAAAAAAAGAATATGCACTCTACAATGCTTTCTAAACTCCTGCTCCATCAGAGGAGCCCCATGTCCCACTAATGAAGCCCAGTTCTTAGGGAATGAATTCCTACCTTGCAAATACAAGTCATGGATCCTGCCTAGTGAGGTGATTCACAATAAATTTTCCCATTTTTAAAATGATGGGTTTTAATTAGTCACATTGCAGGTGTTAAATATGGGAAAGGGATTAGCTTAACTTGCTCAACCCTGTTTTAGCTGAGTGAGTCATAGATACTGTTGAGCTGTCCTGTAGTTCCTTCTGGCTTTCCCTCCAAGCAGGGTGGGAATGAGCAGTCACCCGGTCAAGAAACCCCAGCCACCTGATACACCTCTCCTCCCACTCTTCTGTTAGCAGCAGTCAGGGATGTTTCATTGTTCTCATCACTTAGGGGGCTTGGTTGTTGGGCTCAGTGACACTTATATCTAGCCCCAGCCAGTGGCGTTCTGGTAAATCATTAGCCACCAACTCTTTGATGGGGGGAAAGCCCTGATAAATAGCATCTGCCTATTCCAGTGATATAAGTACTCCCACCATGTTGATTCAAGCCACTGCCGCGGTACCAATGGACAGTGCAGAGCTGAGAGGAGATGTGCAATGTTCCTAGAGAGCCGCTCACATTGCTGCTAGCCTCCCAGGGTAGAGACAATTATACCTCTTTTAGCATATTTATGAAATAGATCTCTTCTGTGTGCAAAGACCGGCATGTAGGGCAGTATGGTGGAAATGTTCCTGAATACTTTTGAGGATCCACCTAGAGGGAACCCACCCAGACTAAGTCTTAGTAGTTGGGTTCTTGCAGACTGCCCTCTTCCCTGGCTCTCCTCAGCAGAGGGAATGGAAGGCTGTGCCGGCCGCCTCAGAGCTTTTTCTCTCTGCTCCCTTCTCTGTAGATGCAGATACCTTGGCTATACCTGCTACTAATGATCTCATTGGGTATGACTTCAGACAATTTTTTTTTTTTTTTTAAAGAGTCTTCCACTGTCACCCAGGCTGGAGTGCAGTGGTGTGATCTTGGCTCACTGCAACCTCCACTTCCTGGGTTCAAGTGATTCTTTTGCCTCAGTCTCCGGAGTAGCTGGGATTACAGGCATGCACCTCCATGCCCAGCTAATTTTTGTATTTTTGTAGAGACAGGGTTTTGTCATGTTGGCCAGGCTGGTCTTGAACTCCCAACCTCAGGTGATCTGCCCACCTCGGCCTCCAAAAGTGCTGGGATTACAGGTATAAGCCACTGTGCCTGGCCACTTTAGGCATTATCTAAAACCCAACCACAGTGACGCTAGATGTGGCCTGTGTCTCACACAGAATTCTGCTACAACAGAGTCTGTGGCCTGACACTTATGGCCTTGCACCTGTGTCATGTCTAATTTCAAAACCACATCCATGCTGTCCAATCAATTGCTCTGTGATGCCAAATCTAGGCTAAAGATTTCCCACTCACCACCAGCACATACTAACAGGTAGTAGTTGGACCAATGTGACTTGAGAGCAGACTGGTGTGTCACCTAATGCCAACTGAGACTTTAGTTCGCTGACTCCATCCAGAGGTGGCTAATAAGCACAGCAACCTCATTATCATTGAGACAGATTCCTTGCCTCATTTGATGCTCAATCTTACTTACCTGAGATCAATACATTACATTAGCAAGGCCAAGGGACCGATGATTCCCAGCCTATGGCAATTTGAAAAGACAGAAAGGCAATATTGATTAATGCTGTGGTGATCCAGCCCTAATCTTTTAACCCTGAGGAAACCAGAGAGACTCAGTGCCTTGATAGCACATCTTCATTGGATAAACTGGATTCCTTTCCTCAGGAGACCCAGTCTGGTCCTCTAAGTAAAATGGCCATTTCATTTTCTCTCAGGTCAATTTCATTCTCTTTTATTTGACAGCTAATGCAGTCTTTGGGGAAATTCATGGGTGATTTTAGCAGTAACATCAAGGACATCACTGTAATAATGATAGTGCCTTATATTTTCTAGCACCTCTCCCAAGGGCTTATGAAGCCTTTTAGATTCTTCATCCCTTCACACAACATTGCTTCAAGGTAGGGCCAAGACAGAAATTCATCACTATTTTACAAGGAAAGACACTCCTGTGCGGCCTCAAAGCAAATGATTTTAAGAGCTAAAAATTCATTTCCTGGCTCTGTCCACCAAATGATGCCTTCTTTAAACATAAATACAAATTGTAATGTAAGCAGGTGCCTATTTACAGAGAGAAACAAATAATTTTACAATAGTGACCAACACTGCAGCTGCCAAGAAATACCTAGCGTGGAAATTTAAAGCAGCAATCCTATTTTCCCTACAGAAGTGAAAGCATATTGAACTTCCTTTTGTATTTAGCAGTAATCCAGCAAATGTAAGCTTTAATATAGCGGCTGAGCGGTAGTTTGAGCCATGAGGTACTGGGGAGCCAGAATCCACTTGGTGAGGACAGTGATGACCAGCAGGTGGCAGAAGTAAATTCCAAGCAGCCAAAGCCCAAAAACATTCGGAGAATTTTCCCCCCTTCCTGAGTGGCAGGGTGGAGTTTGGACAGGAAGAACTGTAAGAAGCCAAGATCTGTGACAGTCACAACAAATACAGTCTGGTCACATGGATACAGGAAGGACGATCTGGGGAGGAATAACAACAAAAAAAGAAGCCAGGGACCTGAATGCGAAACTAGCCTCAGGTGACACGTTCTCCTGCACTTAGAAGCACCAGCAAAACCACGCCCATACAGGGGGGGCAGACCTTCATCATTCGATTTCCTTTTTGTTTTTTTGAGATGGAGTCTCGCTCTGTCGCCCAGGCTGGAGTGCAATGGCGTGATCTTGGCTCATTGCAACCTTCGCCTCCCAAGTTCAAGGGATTCTCCTGCCTCAGCCTCCTGAGTTAACTGGGATAACAGATGCCTACCACGCCAGGCTAATTTTTGAATTTTTAGTAAAGATGGGATTTTGCCATGTTGGCCAGGCTGGTCTTTAACTCCTGACCTCAAGTTATCTGCCCACCTCGGCCTCCCATAATGCTGGGATTACAGGTGTGAAGCTTCCTCTTAATCACTTTAGCTCTACCCCGTGTCGCTATTCCTAGGTAGGTGTCCCCCTCCCCAACTCAACCCCACAGGTTTCCTCAGAGGAAACCATCTGTGGTCAATGGCTGCTGGGCCTTGGCCCTCTGCCCAGCGCCTCTAGTGCATGGATGGGGGTTCCTGCCCTTGATGCAGACATCTTCTTTTCCTGACTTTCCAAAAGTATCTGAGAGGCAGGAGGTGTGTCGTGAGGTCTGGGCGCGGGACCTAGGAGGAAGAGGTTACAAGGAACCTGCACAGGGAGCGTGCGGTGCCCTTGTGACAGAGCCAGCCCCAGAGCCTGTGAGTGTCCCTCTTCCAGTGGACATTCTTGCCCTTTTCACACAGTCCATAGAAAAATGAAGCAGCAGCAATTTTTATTGAGGGACCTAAACTGAAAATAGGTTTAGAACATAATTTAAAAAAATAAAACAGCAAAAGTAGCAAAAAATATATGACCTTTTTAAAAACATTTTCTTTTTTTTTCTTTTTTCTTTGATTTTAATATATAGCAACTGATGCCTCCCAGCCACCTGGAGCATCTTACCCGATGGGTAAATCTCTGGTAATGACCCTTTTAAAAAGACATGTAAATATATACTCAGATTTATACACTTTGTGTTTTCTTCATAGCTATGTACAGAGCCCCCAGTTTGGGGCTGAGCCCCCGGGCCACAACACTGCCCCCAACCTGGCCTTTGCCTCACCATCCTCTGGTACCATGCATTTGGTCAGTAAAGCAACTATCAGAATTAATAAGCCACTGGCACCACCTATCTGGAGCAGAGGTCACCTTCAATCGAGGCCCAAAGTACTGATCTCCCTACTGCTGTAGCCCTGAGGACAAGGCACCTGCCGCCAGAGTGCTAGGGACTTCTGGGTAAAGGCGAAACACACCAAACCCAAATGAGAAAGCTCAGAGGGCTCTCACTTGCATGCCTGTTCATCGGCTCCCACTCCCCACTTTCCAGGCAGCACCTGGTGGCAGGGAGAGGTCTTGGTCCAACATCTGGGAGGGGACGAAGTGGCCAGCAGCAAGGATCTGCCTCTTTGCACCTCTCACTGCCAGGTGGAGAGGAGGAGGAGGAAGAGGTAAGCTGAGCGAGGTGAAGGCAGGCCACACAGGAAGGCCCCTGGTAGACAGCCAGCTCCTGCCAGCAGGAAAGGGGACAGAGATGGACGGGCGGTGGGCCTGGCAGGGGCTGTGGGTGAGGATTACAGCTGATGGTGGGTGGCAGTCAGCAGCGTTTGAGTCCGCCATTGGCAAGCTGGGCTGGGTGTCGGGGCAGGCAGGGCTCCTCAGGCAGCGGCTCATGAGAAAAGACGGAATCCTCCCCTGAGGAGCACGTAGAGCTCCGGGTGTCAGGAAAGCTGGGGGAGTACTGGTCCAGGGGCATGGACAGGTCCAGGTACTCCTGTGAGGGGCGAGAGGAAGCAGCAATGGGCTCGGCCCCTCCTCCCTGCTCAGAGAGGTGCATGCGCGCAGTGGGGACAGCCTGAGCTCTGGCACAGGTAGCCTTACCTGGTTGGAGGTCAAGGCCACTATGCGGTCCAGATCTTCCACCAGCTGCTTGAAGGTGGGTCTCTGCGAGGGCACTGCATGCCAGCAGTCCCGCATCATCATGTACCTGGGGCAGAACTGTAAGGTCAGGGAGGAAAGGCTGCCTCCTGGAGATGGACACCCTTTAGTATAGCCCCCTGCCCCTCAAGCCCATTCTTGCCCCAGGGCCTGGCTTGGGGCCTCCGACATCTCCTCAGACTTACAGCTCGTTGGTGCAGTTACTGGGCTTGTCCATGCGGTGACCCTCCTTCAGCAGCTTGAAAAGCTCCTCCACAGGCACACCGGGGTATGGGGAGCCGCCCAGAGTGAAGATCTCCCACAGGAGCACCCCAAAAGACCACCTGCAGACAGATGCAGAGCTATGGGTGTTAGAGCTTCTCTGCCTCCCCTCCTCCAGCACAAATCCTCCACCCAGGGCAGTGCCAGGAGACAGCGTGGGGAACAGATCATCCTTTCAACATCTGGAGCAGAGGCAATGGCCACAATGTTTTGCTTTTCTCTTGGGGCGAAAGGACTCCTCTGTCCAGGGGGAATGCAGGACTCTGCAGTGGTGGAAGTTCTTTATCCTTTCTTTATCCCACACCTCCCTGGCAACTGCTTATTGCAAACTCACACATCACTCTGGTGGGTGTAGATCCGGTCAAACAATGCCTCGGGTGCCATCCACTTCACAGGCAGTCGGCCCTGCAAGCAGCACCGGGGAGGTTGGGGTGGCCCCAGGCTGGGCCGTGACACAGGTGGGAAGGGACTGGGGGTGGGTTTTCAAGCCATCCCACCCACCCTTCGCTTCTCAGATGAAACCACCAGCATGGGGCGGCCCTGTTGGCACTCACGTTGGTTGTCTTTTTATAGTAGTCGATGTGGTGAATGTCCCGTGCGAGGCCGAAGTCTGCAATCTTCATCACGTTGTCCTCTGTCACCAGGACGTTCCTGGCGGCCAGGTCTCGGTGTATGCACTGAGGAAGGAGGAAGGGAGAGCAGGGGGAGGGGAGGGAGGTGAGGGAGCTGGAAGGCTCTGGGGGCCACCACCTGTGCAACTGGCCGACTTGCCTCACAGACTTCTGCCTACACTATTCTGCCCCGAACCTTTGCTTTCCCTTCTAGAATGTTCTCTGCCAGCTCCAGGCTTCTCAATCATCACAGCAAGTGCTCCTCCCTTCCCTCCCCGAAGGCTGGCCCTTTATGCCTCTGCTTTGTCTGACACTGCGCAGGTTCCTAGGTCTTGCCTCCCAGCAAAGCAAGTCCACACTGAGCTGGGCTCAAATCAAGCTAGCGCTTACACACCAAACACTGCACTCAATGCTCATCGTTTCATTTTATCCTCATAACAATTCTACAACATAGGTATTATTATACTTTTTTTTCTCCGAGACATAGTCATGCTCTGCTGCAGTGGTATGATCATGGCTCATGCAGCCTCAAACTCCTGGGATCAAGTCAGCCTCCCACCTCAGCCTCCGGAGTAGCTGGGACTACTGGCACACAGTACCACACCCAGCTAACTTTGAAATTTTTTTTTTAAAGACAGGGTCTCACTGTTGTTGTCCAACCTTGTCTCAAACTCCTGAGCTCAAGCAATCCTCCTGCCTTGGCACTGCACCCAGCTGATGTTATTCTTATTTTGTACTTGAAGAATTATAAGAGGCTACACAGAAAATGGCAGTGTACAGATCTGACCCTACAGCAGTCTGACCCCAAGGCCACTTGGCTACACTGGTTCTCCTGACTCTGGTTGCCAGAGAGCCTAAGACAACGCACAGGGCCCGTGCTCAATGCATCCACAACGCCACCACAAGATGACAAGTCACAGGCTGGAGGACTGGGAGGGCTCTGTTCCCACCCCAGCAATACCCAGGGGAGCTTTCAGGGTCCACACCTTCTTGGAGGCCAGATACTCCATGCCTCGGGCCACCTGATAGGCGCAGGACACCAGGTCCTTGGAGGAGAGCTGCTCCTCTGGGTTGTGGCTGGGGTTGTAGCAGTATTCCAGCCCCGGGGGCCTCCGGGCCTGCAGGTACTCCCGCAGGTTGCCTTTGGAGGCATACTCCACGATGACATACAAGGGACCTGCGGACATAGGAGGAAGAGGCCATGCAGCCGGCAGCAGGTGAGCATGTTTGGCATCACCTCATGGAAACCCCACCCCCAGCAGCACACCCCAGCCAACCTCCCCTCTCCTGCCTCCTTTTAGGGGACCTGGGAAATCCATTCTACCACCCTAAGAAAACCAGATAAATAGTTATTCCTGGCATAGTCCAGAAATTTCCCAAGCAATGTTGGGATAAGAGCCTGTTTATTTATTTTTGAGATGGAGTCTCGCTCTGTCACCCAGGCTGGAGTGCAGTGGTATAATTTTCGGCTCACTGCAACCTCCGCCTTACAGATTCAAGTGATTCTCCTGCCTCAGCCTCCCAAGTAGCTGGGATTACCGTCATGCACCATGCCGCCTGGCTAACTTGTATTTTTAGTAGAGATGGGATCTTGTTAGCCATGCTGGTCTCAAACTCCTGATCTCAAGTGATCCTCCCACCTCAGCTTCCCAAAGTGCTGTGATTACAGGCATGGCCACTGTACCCAGCCTGAGCACCCTAATTTAGACCATAATTACTCAGCTGTCTCTGTTAACACACCATGTGTGTGAATCTAGGTATCTGTATTCTTCGATGAACACATATGGGCTGAGCCCAGACCCCAAGAAACACATTTTAACCTCTGCCAAAGCAGCCTCTCAACCCCCTTCCCTAACAGCTCAGACCTTCTGCCTGCTGGGGAGGGAAGGCCAGCCTGGCCGGGACCCACCATCCTGCGTGCAGGCCCCCAGTAGGTTGATGATGTTCTTATGCTTCCCGATCATCTTCATCATCTCCATTTCTGAGATCAGGTCTGACAAGTCTTTCTCTGTTGCATCCGCTTTAAAGAACATGTTGAGACTCATTTACTTTTGGAAGGGAGGAGGGCAGGAGAAAGGCTAAGGTAGAGGGGTATGTTCCGAGGGGCCGCTTTTCTCTTGGACTTGATTCTCTCCTCCCCACTTCCACCTTCCCTCTCATGGGAGTTGTTGCAATAGGTGGTAGTGAGCGGGGAGGGATGTGGGGAGAAATGTCAGCAACTGATAGATCCAGGATAAAAACCTAACCATAGCCCAGGTTGATGCCAAGAAACAGAGTGAGGTCACAGAACAATCTCAGGGTGCAGAACACCCCCTCCACTCCCAGGTAACCCCAAGCAGGCAGGGGAGCAGGTGTGGGCAGCAAAAGCACCAGAGAAGCTGCTCTGCTGGGCCTGAGGCTTGCTGTTTGCTTGGAATGGGACAAGATTGTCTCTGCAAGGACAGAAGCATCACTTACACTTCAACATCTTCACAGCCACCTTGGTCACACGGCTGGGTTTGTCCTTGTCCAGTCCGATGGCCTCTGCCAATACCACCTGCCCAAAGCAGCCCTCTCCCAGGGGTTTTCCTAAGACCAGTCTTTCAGGGAAAACAGACAGCGGCATTAAGTTGGGGCTGGTGAAGTTCAAACTTTGAGAGGCACCCCATCTCCACTTCTGTATTTCACCCAACTTCGAGCAGAAAATGGAAATGAATGTTTCTGCAGGCATTTCACACACCTTCACTGCCCTGAAGGTGTTAGTATACACACCTTCTACCACTAGAATAGCAAGCAAAGGATGCCTTCAAAAAGTTAGGAGTTAAAGCATTGTTACCTGTCCCGAGGCAGCTCCCAGCGAGGGTCTTCGGGAAGCTCATACTCAGAGACCCCTGCTAGCATGGGAGTCCCACTGGAGGAGAGCCGTGATGGCCGAACCAGAAGAACCCCAGAGTTCATGGACGCACTGGAGTCAGCGGACACCTGCAAGGAAGAGTGGGGTCACCCTAGAGCAAGGAGCGGGGACAAGGGCGACTCCTTTCCATTCCTAGTCAGGGCTTCCCAACAATGGCAGAGGCACGTTTCTGTGTATCTCATGTTCTTTCAGCAATACAGAGTGGTCCGAAGACCACAGGAGGCCCAACTTCTAGGACTGACCTATTTCTGCCACTGGCTGGCCTTTCTGGATTTCACTGACCTTTAAAATAAGCAGATCAAAGCACCTCTTCCAGCTTGATACTTTATTACTGATCACTGCAGTAACAACTCTATTCTCACAACTCTGCAAATACTTTGCCTTAGCTTATGGACTCCAAACTCCCAAAGCACCTTCCAGAATGAGCATAGGCTTCTGAGGGAATGGTCATTCTTGCACACACCTGTACCTAACAGTTTCCTTCCATGGGGAAGGGTGGGCACACAGGAGGACAAGGGGATAGTATGGTATGGCTGATATGGTTGCTGTGTCCCCACCCAAATCTCATCCTGAATTCCCACGTGTTGTGGGAGGGACCTGTTTTTGGTGGGAGGTCACTGACTCATGGGGTAGATCTTTCTCGTGCTGTTCTTGTGACAGTGAATAAATCTCACGAGATCTGATGGTTTTTAGGAGTTTCCCTACACAAGCTCTCTTTTCTTGTCTGCTGCCATGTAAGACACGCCTTTTGCCTTCTGCCATGATTGTGAGGCCTCCCCAACCATGTGGAACCTGTGAGTCTATTAAATCTTTTTCTTTTGTAAATTGCCCAGTCTTGGGTATGTCTTTATCAGCAGTGTGAAAACTGACTAATACATACGGTCCTCTTCTCTACCCTGCATCTCTGCACTTCTAAGCAGCCCTTGGGGACAGTTCAAATGCATGCTATTGGCTGCACATTCCATCCAGATAGGACTTCCTCCCAATCCATGTGCCAGGGGTCTGGGGGACTTTCAATGGGATATGAAGGGTGCAGAAGATTCACAGGCTACACTAGCTTAAAACAGACTCTGGAGCACTTAGTTCATGACATTCTCCTGTGCCTGGCTCAGAAGCCACAAAGCCAAGCCCAAAGCTGTAGATTAGGGACAGTGGAGAGGCCAGCGGATTAGAGGCCCAGAGAGAGAGATGGTGCTGAGTGTGCAAATCCCCCATCTACTTTCTGTTACCTGTCTGCGCAGAGGGATGCTCTTGGCCAGCTTGTGCACGGCCATCTGGCTGTGGAAGTCACTCTTCTTGGTGCTGCTCTTCATCTTGTAGATGATGACCGACCCCACCATGCAGGAGATGAGGAAGGCCCCTGTGCAATAGATGATGATCTCCAGGTACAAGGGTGAGGTTATCACGGCTGGCCTCTCTTCCAGGGCTGAGTCAGTGCGAACAGGGTGTTAGCAGGTTTGGAGGGCCCTGTCCATGCAAGGCTCCACTCCATTAGAAAAACAACACCTATCTCCTGTCCCCTGGGAACTTTCAGGGAGAAGAACCATGTTAGGTTCTAGCTAGGACTAGGATTGTGGCCCTAGGAGAATCGAGACAAGCCCCTGATCTCAGAGGCTGCCTTCAGTGGACTGGAGCCATGGAAGAGGGGTGGCCTGGAACCATGATGCTATGCAAGTCCCATCCTCATTCATTCCTGGGCCTCCTTGCTCAGCTGGACTGGACAGGTACAGGCAACCAGGGACTCTGTAAGGGCCAGCTGAGAAGTCACTTCTGTGTGCCTTTCTTGGTCTCCTCAGGGAGCCATGGCCCTTCTCTGCAGAGCCTCAGCTCTGTGTGCATGCACGTAACACACAGGGACAGAGGTGTTTGAGTCCTCTGTCCCTAAGAAGCCACAGGGTCCCTGAGGGCAGGGCTGGTACCTTATTTATTTTTGCAGGCCACAGCACCTGGTGATGGTGGCACTCACAGAATGAGGACAGAGGACAGGAGGTGAACCAGCCTGCACCCTGCTCAATGTCCCACTTGGGGTCTGTGTCATCTGTGTCGAGTCACACAGGTAAATACTTACACCTAGTCAAACCACAGGCAAAGCTGACTTCATTTCCAAAAATAAGCTTTTTTTGGTAGTGCTTACGAATTCTACTTACAGGCTTCAACTACTAAAACTTAAGAAAATGTGGTGGCAGGGGGACAGGGGCTACATTTTACTATTCTCTTCTCCCACCTTCAGATTAGGATTCACCCCCCCACTCCATTGCCACAGCAGCTAAGCCAGTTCAGTCCACCCTTCCCTTCAGCACAAGGGGCTGGAAGGCTCTCATCCCAGCTCACGCAGCACTGATTTCACAGAACGTGCTTTGCCCCACGGGTGTGGACAGCCCTCCTCCTTCCACAGGCCTCTTCCCAACCTTCCCCTTTAAAACCCATCAGCTAGCCTCAGAGGCGGCACCCCTGAGAACCCTCCCAGCAAGGCATGAGGCACAACCCCAGACTGAGCCCAGGAGAACATCCAAGGCCTGCTAAGGAGACAGCAGAGCTGACGACAGGGAGAAGTGTTGCTGTTTTTTTCTTTCCCTGGTGTTGAGGAACAAAGACAACTGATTGGGAGCACACGGGGAGCACAGACAGGACAAGGACAGGGACAATGAGAAAAACAGAACGCTTCTTGCCTCCAGCAGGGGCATCTGGAGACCCTGACGAGCAAGCAGGGCAGAGGGGGAAAGGAGGCAAGAGAGGAGAGGGCAGTGCAAGCAGGACCAAGAGCAGTGCCCAGACCCACGTCTAGGACATTCCAAGAGACAGCAGCAAGACCTGGCCCCGGGGTCACCAGCCACCACCCTGAGCAAGCTGCAGGCTCCTTCCTCCCCAGCTCAACATGCAGACCTCCCCTCGGGAGATGAGAGATGGCAGCGGCCAAAGAGGATACATGGACATCATGAAGCTTGCTGTGGCTGCCCAGGACAGGCCTTTTTGAAGGCAGCTCAGTTCACATGACCAGGCAGACTTTCTCCTCCTCCAAAGGCACAGGATGGTAGGACAGGAGGAGGGTGGGCTACTCTTTGCAAGCAGCAAGCCCCCCTGGGCTGAGCGCCTGAGTGCAGGGAGAAGAGGCATGGGGCCCTATCTGAGACTTTTCAGATGCTCAGTACCCAGAGGAGGAGGGAAGGCTGCTGGAGCCAAGGATGGAAGGAGCCTGCTGTGGAGGAGGCCGGCTGCAGGGTTAACCCAGATCCCGGGCATGCATTGCACTGGCCACGGGAGAGCAGAGGCAGGTGGACAAGTGGGAGGCTTCCCTGTGCCTGCAAAACTAGGGAAGCTCTTCTCTCAGGCGAGAGGATTCAGCCCTTAAAGCTGGGGCAGGACATGGCACCAGGCAGGCAGGAGCCCATTCTTCCAGCTCTCTTGCCTCTGTGTCTCCCCAAGCCTGGAAATGCATGCTCCCCCCGTGCCCATGGCGAGGGCAGGACATCGAGAGGAGAAGTTACAGTGTGTACCTTCCAGAACGGTCAACCATGCAGAGTGATGGGAGAGTCCGATAGAGTTACCCGCCAAGCACGTATACTCCCCTGCGTCCTCAAAGGAGACATTTCTTAAGTGAAGCACCTCCATCTCTTTGTCGGTGGTATTCACTCCAGCAGTCTAAAAGAGACAACGGAAGCAAAATGGACAAGCACAGGACATGAGTCCTCTAAGAGATGCAGAGCAAGGGAGGGAGGGAGAGACGGGTGGGGAGGGGAGAACCAGAGGAAGAAATGCTCCCCCGAGTCTTCTTTGCAACAAGGAACAAACGAAAACCACCAGGCAGCAAAACCTGTTAGAAGAAGAGGGTAAGACCCTGAGGGAGGACCTCCGGCAGACCTGAGAAGACGATGGCTGGTTACGACCCTTCACCAGACACTGGCAGCCACTGGCCCATCCGAGCATGCGGGCGGTGAGCGGCATGGAGAAATGGGGCCGGCAGGCGGGGACTGTTTGGTTTTAGGTAAAGATAGCCAGAGGGTGAACACAGGAGGGATGGCGGGGGCTGCAGACACACATGCACACACACACGTACACACAGAAACACACGCATGTGTGCGTACACAGCCTGCAGATACGAGTATGCAAGGGAATGCCTGGCCCCTCCTCTCTCGTTTTTAGAGATGGGGTCTCACTCTGTCACCCAGGCTGGAGTACAGTGGCACAAACAGCTCACTGCAGCCTCATCCTCCTGCCTCAGACTTCAGACTAGCTGGGACTACAGGCACACGCTACCTGCTTGGCCAATTTATTTTATTTATAGAGACGGAGTCTTGCTATGTTGCCCAGGTTGGTCTCAACCTCCTGGTTTCAAGCGATCCTCCCAGCTCAGTCTTCTGAAGTGCTGGGATTACAGGTGTGAACCACTGTGCCTGGCCTAAAGCCCCTTCTCTTAAACACCACTCACACCTTCTGTCTGAAGTACCATTTGTAACGCAGCAAGACTGTATTCCCATGAGTCCTCACATGGATCAACACACAGCCAAGGAACACACAGAAGGCAGAGAGGGAGCCCGCAGACACCAACACAATACCAAACCAAACCAGCCTCCCAGGCCGGGTATTTTTCCATGGCTCTGGGCACTAGAAATACAGTAGGGTGACAGGGACAGTCCAGCACTGGCTTCCCCGCCTGCCCGGCAGCTTGAGGCCTACATCACATCCCCAGCACAGGGTCCCGTCCATCTCCCCATTACCTTTTGCCACAGGTCTGGTGACAGTGAGCCACGCAGACTGGTTAGCTTCACCAATATAATTGGAAACCTTACACACATACTCCCCGCTCTGGGCCTCTGTCACATTGAACAGGGTCAGCACCTCCGCATCCGAGCTATTAATCCCCGAATGCTGGAACAAACCAACGACACACCAGTCAGTTGGGCAAACGCTGGGATGTGGCCACGCACGTTGCTCCTGTTTAACTTTCAGGCAGGCCCAGGGAGTGAAGGGAGATACTAAGTGAGATTGATTATCTTCTCTATTAGTTTTTCGTGTTTTTTTTTTTTTTTGAGACAGAGTCTCACTCACTCTCACCCAGGCTGGAGTGCAGTAGCGTGATCTCAGCTCACTGCAATGTCCGCCTCCTGGGTTCAAGCAGTTCTCCTGCCTCAGCCTCCTGAGTAGCTGGAACTACAGGTGCCCACCATCACGCACAGCGAATTTTTGTATTTTTAGTAGAGACAGGGTTTCACCACGTTAGCCAGGCTGGTCTCGAACTCCTGACAAGTGATCTGCTGGCCTCAGCCTCCCAAAGTGCTGGGATTACATGCGTGAGCCATAGTGCCCAGCCTTCTTTCCCTTTTACAAGGACAGAACAAATGGACTTCAAAAATCCAAAGCATTTGACTGTCGGGGGAGGGGAATCACTGCTTCAAATGGAATGTTCTGTTTGTATTTAACACACTCCCTCCAGGACTGGAGCAGGGGTTGTGAGTGGAGACAGTGACCAAGGTCCTACAGAGCAGTTTTAGCACCAGTGGCGAAAAGAAGGGAGGGCCAGTATATCTCTGAGACAACTGAGCCAGGGGAGGATGAGGTCTAACTCTGGGACAAGAAGGTAAACAACTTTCCCAGCTTCTGGTTCCTTCCTGTTGCAAGATCCACTGGAGATTTAGGCAATTACCTTCCCTGGATTAATGGAGCATTCAGGGACAGTGAATGTCTGGGAGTAAGAAGAAAAAGGAAGAAAATGCCATTACTCCTCGCATGGCTTAGAATTTATAGGTGGCTTTTGTTTTTCCAACTCTTAATAAGAGATGGTCTTATCATGCACCCCAATGGCCAGAAAGATCGTACGTAACTCAGGAAGCAGAGCTAAAACTGGGAAACACTTGCTGGAAAGGCTCTGGTCTCAGGCAATGAAAAGGCAGGGGTCCAAATGCCTTCCTTGCATGGCTGACCCCAAAACCCCAGCGATGTTGCTCTCAAAGCTCATTACAGACCAGCATCACCCACCCCTGCAGCCCTTGTTCCCAGCTCACCTCCACTTCGCAACCTCTGTCACTAGTCCTGGGGGATATGGCTAGATTCCTACCAAGATGGAGTGTGTGTGTCTGCAGGGTAAGGAATGATCCTGTTCGGGGGCACTGAGCTTGCCCACAGGAACTTGAGCCCTGGGGGCACTGGTGTCCTTCCCAAGTAGACTGGCCCATGAAGACTGAGGCCATGATTACCTTCAAGATCTGGACATAAGGCAGGTTGTCTGGACCAATCTTGCTCCCGTTCACCTCGATGTGCTTTAGCCACTGGATGTGTGGTTGTGGGTCACTGTACACCTTACACATGAACTCCACGTTGCTACCCAGGGCCACTGTCTTGTTGGCGGGCAACCCTGCTTGCAGGATGGGCCGGTGAGGGGACCGCTCTGTGGAAGATGGGAGAGGAGGTGCTTGTCATGGGGACCCTGCCATGGCTAAAGATCAGTGTGCTCACCTGCATCCCCCTTGGCTTCCCAGTGATGGGTTGTAAATCTCCCAGCACTTCTGCTGAGCCAAAGCCTCTCAAACCAGAGCTAGGGAAACGGACACTTTCTCTTCAGACCCTAAGCCATCAGGATCCTCCTCCTCAAGGCGGTGCATCATATTTACAGTCACAGTAAGTCGCTCATGATTTCATGGAGAATGTTCTAACTCAGCTGCATCCCCAGGCCTCAGCACAACCTGCTTCTCCTTAAGTAAAACCAGAGTCCTGACGCCTGCTGTTTAAAGTATGGTCCACAAACAGTGCTACCAGCATCCCCTAGGAGCTTGTTAGAAATGCAGAATCTCAGATCTTACTCCGATCTCTCGGATCAGAATCTCCTTTTTGTCTTTCTTTAGAGGCAGGGTCTCACTGTGTGTCACCTACATTGCAGCACAGGGATGTCATCCTAGTTCACTGCAGTTTTGAACTCCTGGGCTCAAGTGATCCTCCCACCTCAGTAGCCTCAGTTACTCAGCTGGGACTACAAGTACATGCCACTGTACTAGGCTAGTTTTAAAATTTTTTACAGAGAAAGGGTCTCACTGTGTTGTCCAGGCTGGTCTCAAACTCCTGGCCTCAAGCAATCCTCCTGCCTTGGCCTTCTAAAGTGATGCGATCACAAACGTGAGTAATCCCATCACACCACCTGGAGCTCATAAGCCACTGTGCCTGGCCACAGTTTCCTTTTTAGACCATATAGTCACAATCAAGAACACTGGCCATGAGACTCTGTAAACAATGACCTCTAGAGAGTAAATTTCGAACTCCTAGAAGGAAAAGGGCTGCACTTATAGCGCCAAGAGGCTTGATGTTCTTCCGAGAGTCTCTTGTGATGCCCTGGAGTTGGCAAAGCCGTGGAGTTCTGCATTAGCAAGGTGTCTGACCTCTCTGAGCCTCAGCCCCTGCGCTCCTGTGTAGAGCTAGATTAATACCACCAACCTTGCAGGTGTGCCACACGCATTACAGGGAAAGTATTTAGGGAGCCTGGCATTAAGCCACAGCTCCTATTATGCTCCAACAGTGCCTCTTTCAGGACATACCTTGAACAGCACCTTCCATTTCACAGTGACAACCAATTCTGACATGTGTTACTGTCTGATCTTAACTCCATTTCACAGATAAGAAAAGTGAGGCTCAAAAGAGAGAAGTGACCTGCTCAAGGTGACAAAGCCGAGAAGTGCCAACCGCTATCCTGACTCGTCCCCTAAGAAACCTGGACACTGGCTGTGTTCTCCAAGCGACTCTTCCTGCTAAACTCGTTCCTCCTGCCGCCTTTGCCCTCTTACCCACGACATCAAGCTGGTAGGTGTGGTTGATGCTGCCGTACTCATTCTCCACGATGCAGGTGTAGTTGCCCTTGTCAGAGGGCACCACGGAGTCCATTATGATGCTCCAGGTGGCATAACGGACCTGAGGGGAAACGCCAAAGGGGTACATTGAGGGTCTGGAAGAAAACGCAGGCAGAAGCCCCATGACAATGTCCGAACCCTGGGACACCTGCCCTCCACATCAGAGCCTGGAGGCACAGGGCCCCAGGCTGCAGGGTCGGCTAGGATGAGGCATGGAGTGCCTCCTACCAGCCCATTCACATTCTGAAAGAACACATCAGCAGACAAGCTGGCAGATGGGGTGTGAAGATTCTGGAAGTCTCCACTGTGACATTCGAGGTCATTCGTGATGCGGACAGATGTGTCTTCTGCAAACACTCCCAAATACACCAGGAATGTTCCCAACTGTGCACTTCTATTTGACGAGAAACTAGCCGTCGCTGCCCTTGACAGCTCATTTCAAAAGCCATCTCCTCTTTGGGAGGCTAAGGTGGGAAAATCACAAGGTCAGGAGTTCAAGACCAGCCTGGCCAACTTGGTGAAATCCCATCTCTACTAAAAATATAAAAAATTAGCTGGGTGTAGTGGTGAGCACCTGTAATCCCAGCTACTTGGAAGGCTGAGGCAGAAGAATCACCTGAACCCAGGAGGTGGAGGTTGCACTGAGCCGAGATTGGTGCCAGTGCATTCCAGCCTGGGCAACAGAGTGAGACTCTGTCTCAAAACAAAACAAATTAAAAAAAATTTCCTCCAACCCCGTCTTTGGCCAGAACTGTGCTTACCCTTTGTCTACTGAAGCACTGATCATAGTCTGCTTTTTATAATAGCAGCTCATGACATTTGCCTCATATCAGACTAGAAAATTTTTATGGGCAGGAATGCTGTCTTGTAGCATTTATAGCATGGTGTCTTGCATGTAGTGAGTGCATGGTGAATTAATTTAAAATGTTTCTGGCCGTGCGCAGTGGCTCACGCCTGTAATCCCACCACTTTGGGAGGCTGAGGTGGACAGATCACTTGAGGTCAGGAGTTCAAGACCATCCTGGCCCACATGGTGAAACCCCATCTCTACTAAAAATATAAAACTTAGCTGAGCATGGTGGCCCGCACATGTAATCCCAGGTAGTCGGGAGGCTGAGGCAGGAGAATTTCTTGAACCTGGGAGGCAGAGGCTGCAGTGAGCCACGACCATGCCACTGCACTCCAGCTTGGGTGACAGAGTGAGACTCTGTCTCAAAAAAACAAACAAATAAAAAAAGTTGCCCTATTCTTTCTGAAAATACTCTGCTTTCCTTACATGTGATTAACGAGATAAGAGGTGAGATGAGAGAAAAATGGGACTATACGGAGGACCAGAAACTCTGAAGAGGAATTAAAGGAAGGTGTTCTTCCTACAAATACAGATGGGCCGAGGCTGTGACGGACAGTTTGCAGAAGAGGAAATGAAAACTGCTTACTAATATATGAAAATTCTAACTTTTTTAATAAACAAAATAATATACAAGAGAATAATAAAATAAATACAGTCATCCCCCTGATCCGTGGGGGATATGTCCCAAGACCCCCTGTGGATGCCTGGAACTGCAAAAAGTACCAAAACCTACATAGATAATAGCACTGGTTTCTCCTATACAGACACACACATGATAAAGTTTAATGTATAAGTTAGGCACAGCACAAGATTAACAACATAACAGAACAACTGTAATAAATAATAAAAGTTTTATGAATGTGGTCGCTCTCTCTCAACATAACTTATACTGTACTCATCTTTTTTTTGAGACAGAGTCTTGCTCCTGTTGCCCAGGCTGGAGCACAATGGTGTGATCTTGGCTCACTGCAACCTCTACCTCCTGGGTTCAAGTGATTCTCCTGCCTCAGCTTCCCAAGTAGCTGGGATTATAGGCGCCTACCACCATGCCCAACTGATTTTTGTATTTTTAGTAGAGATGGGGTTTCACCATGTTGGCCAGGCTGGTCTTGAACTCCTGACCTCAGGTGATCCGCTCACCTCAGCCTCCCAAAGTGCTGGGATTACAGGTGTGAGCCACCATGACCAGTCTCATCTATTTTTAATTGTTGGTTGACTGTGGTAATGAAACCACGGACAATGACAGCAGGGACAAGGGGGTCTGCTATGTTTTTGCCTATCAAATTTGCTGGCCAAGGTATAGTGGATTTGTCATTCTCATACTCTTGCTATGGGAGGGTGAATCAATTTTCCCTTTTAAGAAAGTAATTTGGTAATGTATCAAAGGCTCAAAAATGCTTACAACCCTTTAACTTGGTAATTTCACGTATAATAATCTGTCCTAAGGAAGCACACTTAAAAATGCTGACAGAGATTCACTGCAACATTATTTACTATGGTGAAAACTAGAAAATACCTAATATCACAATAGTTCATTAAATTATGGGAGTTTTATTGTTGTTTTTTGGAGACAGAGTCTCACTCTGTCACCCAGAGTGAAGTGGTGCGATCTCAGCTCACTGCAACCCCTGCTTCCGGGTTCAAGCGATTCTCCTGCCTTAGCCTCCCACCATGTCTGGCTAATTTTTTGTATTTTTAGTAGAGAGGGGGTTTCACCATGTTGCTCAGGCTGGTTTCAAACTCCTGAGCTCAGACAATCCGCCCACCTTGGCCTCCTAAAGTGGTAGGATCACAGGCATGAGCCACTGCGCCCAGCCAAATTATGGGATTTTAAAATAATGGAATCTTACACAGTTATGAAAAATTGTTTCAAACAGTCATGCTTGAAAAGAAATCACACAAAGACTCATGTTAACAAATAAGAAGGCAAGAAAATTACATACATGATGCGATCTACTATGTAAAAACCATATTACACAGAAAGAAGACTGAAGACATTTTTAAACCTTATTTGCATTTGTTTGTATTTAAAAATTGTAATGCATCACCTGGATAGTTGGGGAAGATTACTTAAAACAATTAAAAGCATATAATCAGGATTTCCTAACTCGGCCTCTCCTGTTGCCATTACTCTAACTTTCGCATGCACACACACATACCTTGTAGCCTCCAATCCTGTGATCAGGTTTGAATTCTTTGCCATTTTTCAACCAGCGCAGTGTGGGGTTTGGGGTCCCACTGGAAGGGCATTTGAACTTCACTGTCTTGGCAGCTGGCACCGCATGCAATTTCTTTTCCATCTTTTCTGGGGATGTCCAATATGGAGCTACAGCTGCCCAGGGAAAGCCAAGAGAGACAGGCAGGGTGGGAGGAGCAGCTTGTCAGGCTCAGGAGCAGGGCCCAGGTCAGGACCTGGGGTGCCTTGCCGATCTGCCCAACAACCGTGAGCAGTACCTAGCACTTAGCAGAACAGGCAACATGACCCCATGTACCCTTTCCTCCTCCCCATTCAGGCTTCTCCTCCCCTCTTTAACCTAACACCCAGGGCAGTAAGATAGGAAAGTGTCTCACGCATACGGTTTGGTTTGGTGTTATCTGTCTCTTTCTCCTCTGAAGAGGAGTCATCATCATCATCATCATCCTCCGAGGAGGGGAGAGCATCTATGGGAATAAGAAGGGGGGCACTGAGGTTCCTCCTAGGGATGCCTGGATTTCATTCACTAAGGCTAGTGCAGTTCCAGATAACACGGACACCCTCCCCATGGGGATCCCAGTCCCACTTCTCCCTTAGTGACCATCTCTCAGTGGGATGGGAACTATTTAAGAACAGTTCCTGTTTGTGTTTCCTTCCTTCTCCAAAGCACTGCCTAGAAGCCTTCACACTGGGTGGCTCCATCAGGGTCAGCTGTTCCTCTCTAACTTAATTCCATCCTACATTCAAAGGCTCTCTCTCAACTTGTGGTGCCACCTGGGTGTGTTGGGTCTCAACTTGCAGCCAGGCAGCCTGTATTCTTCTTTGGATGGCTACTATAGGGAAACCCAGGCAGGCCTAGATGCACTGTGGCTAGATGCAATTTCGAAAGGATGGGCCAAACACCCACAGTCAGAATTTTTCTGGCATATGTCTACTAAGGTTTGGCGGCTGCCCTCCTTAACCAGAGCAGATAGGGCACCCACCACCCCGGCAGCTGCCAACACCTCTCCCCAATAAGTACTTATTTCTTGTAAGAACAGGCTTGATACTCATGTGGTCACCCATTGGGGTTCATGCCAGATCTTTCTCCAGTCCTTCTTATCACCTTTGGGGATCTGGTGCCAAGTCCACACCCCGAGGTGCATTCATGGCATAAAGAAAATTTCAGCTCCACTTCCTCAAATCCTACTTTTGTGGAAGTCACATTCTAAGAGTGGCAGGTTCCGGATTCACAGAGCGCCAGGGTTCCCTGGCTGCCCTGGCACTGCTCCCTTACGGTGCACCTGATTTCCCCGCTCCAGCACGGCAGGGATCCCACCTCCTGTTCAGGGGCTCTAATCACTAAGCCAAGTACCAAGTCCAAATGGCAAGGGAGTGGTGGGGTAGAAGCTGGCCGAGCATCACTTAGCCTCCTGGAGATCTGGGCAAGCTGTGGTGGGAAACATCACAGGTCCTTAACGTCCCAAGATCCCTGGCAATCACCTCCGAGATGGGTCCTGGAAGCCCCAGATCTCCGGCCTGGGCCCACCAAACCTGGTCACAACTCTGAGAGCCAAGCCACGCGGCAGGCAGGGAGCAATGTTAGTGGGCAGCGGTTTCTGAAGCAGAGTGGGGGCGGATCACGAAGGGGAGGAGGTTCACCTCCCCCTGAAACTGGCAGAGAGCGTTGGAGGGGGTGGGTCTAGGGAGAGGCGAGGGCGGGGCTTGGCTACCAACCTGAAACATTGACGGAGAAGTAGGTGGTGTCGCTGCCCAAAGGGCTGCTGGTCACGCAAGCATAGAGGCCGGAGTCCGCGGGCACGGAGTCCCACACCTCCACCTCCTCCCCTGTGATGCGGGTGCGGTTGCTTTCTGCCAGTTTCACCCCGTCCCGCAGCCAGTCGATGCTCTGCACATCGTCACGCAGCCGACAGCGAAGCTGCAGTAGGTCACCAGGGTGGACCAGGAAGGACTCTACTTCCACAGGGGCTCCCCAGGGCTGGGCTGCAGCCACCACAGGGCCGGGAAGAGGAGCCAAGGGGCGAGAGGAAGACAGGGAGAGGGGAGGAGGGGAGAGACAAAGGGAATTACGCTGGCCACTCGCAGCCGCACTGTCCTGGGCATCACTTACTGGAGGCTACTGAGCTGGGGTGGCGGGAGTTGGAGCAAGGGTCAGTGGGGAAACGGCTAGCTGCCTGGGAACCCCCATGTTTTCCCACCCCACTCCTCCAAAAGTCAAAGGAAGAAAGAGGCAAAGTTAGGAAGCAGCTGTAGCAGCATTAAGCAGATCGCATTTCATTTCCCTCCATCCTAAGGGTAAAGGTCCGCCCTCCCCAGGACTTGTGTCCAGAGTTGCCCCCTCCCTAGACGCTCAGTTCTTTGCCAAGACCACCACTTGCCAGAGGAACACTCCATTTCCTTTGGGATAGCTCAACCTCACCCTTCCCTAGCAACAGCTGAACAAACCCCACCCCTCAAAACCCCAGCAGCCCCCACCCAGGTCCAGAGAAGACAATTTGTCAACGGGGCTGACCAGGATTTGTGTGATTTGGTGAGGGTAGGGGTCTGGCCCCCGATGTGTCAGATGCACATGTTGGGGGGGCAGCCTAAGGAGAGGTCAGCTCAGGGAACCTCTCACTGGCAGGTGTCCGGCCAGGGGATTTGGAGCTGTTGACTACATTAGGACTGGAGGCCGCAGCTGCCACAAAATCCACACTTGCTCTGGCAGCAGGAGCTGTCGAAGACAAAGCTCCTTTCTCCTCAGCCCTCTGCCTGGGCACACCCTCTCAGGCCTTCACCATCCACTTTTCCTCCCAGTGTCCTGTCCTTCTCTGTCTCTGGGTGGGAGCACTGGACCCACAGGGCGTATCTGCAGCTCACAAGATCTGATACCACAGGTGCCCTACCCTGACCAGTGCCTCTTCCCACACGCGTTCAAGAAGGCCTGTGCCCGGACACACCTGAGTCCACCATCCTGGGCTGCTACCCGCCTCCTGAATACACCCCTTGCACTCACCAGGGGAAATGAAGTTTCTATTTCCTTTTAGGATGTTCAAATGTACTCCTCACATCTTCTATCTCTCACACCTACCACCCACATTCGGCCTGCAGCCTTGGAGAGGCCTGTTCTCACCATCTGTTTGCCCTAAGAGACTCTGTGGAACGAATGCTGCTTCCTGATGTACAAAGTTCTGAAACAGCATGCTCTCCCTCAGCCCCTGCTGTGGCTCACAGCTGCCCCAGCAGCCACAGGGCCGCTGATTTTTTCTGCCCAGCTCTCACTACTCACTCTTCAGTCTCAGCCTAGTTGGTGACTTCTCCTCAAGGGCTGTTCTGATTCCCAGTCTGGGTTTGGTGCCCTCTCCTCCTGTCATACTGAAGGGCAGTCCTCTTTCTGAACCTGAGCATGGGGATGTGTCATCGGTACTTCAAATCCCCAGCACCTGCTATGATGCCGGGTACTCAGGAGTTGCTCAGTAAATGCTTGCTCAATAAATAGCACACATGCAGTCACCTCAGCCCTTCACTGCCTTCCTTTCTCGTCTTCCTTTTCTCTTTCACTCCCCATCATTTTAAAGGTCTTTTGGAAGTGCTCAACAGGCTTCCACTAGAAACAGTAAAAATGAAAATGGGTGTCCTGAGCATCAGAAGTGACCAGGGACTGACAGTGGTTTCTCCCTCGGGGGGACCGAGGTTGCAGGCCCAGCCCGCATCCACCCATGTGCTTTATCTTAAATAGGAGTCATCAGAAATAGGAGGGCAGCTTTAAAAGAGCTCAGAAGCCACTAGGCTTGCATACGTTTATTTTTGCGAGTCCGGTCAAGGGGAACACCACAAAGGTGAGTAGACCACACAACCGATTAAAATAAGCTTTTGTGGGCCTTAGAAAAAGTTATTCTTTCCATTTTTAATGGTCTGTGGTTTTGCCAAATGAAGGTAGGAGAAAAGCAGTTTAGACTCAACTCTTAAGGAACAGAGCAGACATTCCTATTGATCAAATCTCATTTCCCTCAAATGACCTGAGTAATTATTTCGCAGATTGTGATCTGTGCAAGCTGAATTTTTACCCTCTGGCATCACAAGGCCTATTGCAGCCTTTCCCAGAGAAAAAAAGCAGCCCCCAAAGACAAAAATGTAGCAGAGAACCCCCGGGCATTTATTTCCCTCCAAGAGAAAACAGCAAAGGAACACTGGCCCTGGTGAGACCCGCTCTAACTGATACCAGCTTGGATCCATAACTTCTGCCCATCCCAACCAGAACCTGCAGACAAAACTCCACCATACGTGATCTCCAAAAGCCTCAAGAGCCAGCTCGCTTGCCTCTGATGCAAGCTTAGATGCTGGTTCCCTTCCAAATGTGGCTCAGGTATGCTCTGTCCTCTCTCTTTCCCAGAACCATCTCAATATAATTTATTTTTATTTTTAGACGGAGTCTTGCTCTCTCACCCAGGCTGGAGTGTGGTGGTACGATCTTGGCTCACTGCAACCTTAGCCTCCTGGGTTCAAGCGACTCTCCTGCCTCAGCCTCCTGAGTAGCAGGGATTACAGGCACAAGCCACCACACCCAGCTAATTTTTGTATTTTTAGTAGAGATGGGGTTTTACCATATTGGTCAGGCTGGTCTGGAAACTCCTGACCTTGTGATCCACCTGCCTGGGCTTCCCAAAGTGTTAGGATTACAGGCGTGAGCCACTGCGCCTAGCTGGGATAATCTTTTAAATGGCCTCCCTGGGGCTGCAGTTCTGACTTTCCCTGATGCTTCCAAGTAGTCATGTGCTTTACATTATTTTCCTAATCAAAATCTACCCTGTGTACAGAATAAAATCCACATCCCTGCCTCACCTTTAAGGCTCCCTGCAATCGGCTTCCACTCTCTCCATCTAGACCCGTTTTTTCTACCAGGGCTTGCCTGTCCCTCCCCGAGCTGGATGCTTTCAGCCCCGACTGCATCCTCCCTGGCATAGCAAAGCTTACTCCTTTCCTGGGGACTGTCAGTGCCATTCCAGCGTCCTCCTGCCCCAAACCAATTCCACCATCCAAAATGTCCAGGGGCTGGGTGCAGTGGCTTATGCCTGCAATCCCAGCACTTTGGGATGCTGAGGCAGGAGGCTCACTTAAGCCCAGGAGTTGAAGGATACAGTGAGCTACCATCATGCCACTGCACTCCATCCTGGATGACAGAGACCTTGTCTTTTTTTTTTTAAGATGAAGTTTTGCTTTGTTGCCCAGGCTGAAGTACAGTGGCACAATCTCAGCTTGCTGCAACTTCCTCCTCCCAGGTTCAAGCCATTCTCTCACTTCAGCCTCTGGAGAAGCTGGGACTTCACGTGTGTGCCACAACACCTGGCTTATTTTTGTATTTTAGTAGAGACAGGGTTTTGTCATGTTGGCCAGGCTGGTCTCGAACTCCTGACCTCAAGTGATCCGCCTGCCTTGGCCTCCCAAAGTGCTGGGTTTACAGGTGTGAGCCACTGCACCCCAGACCCTGTCTTAAAACAAAACAAAAAAACTATGAAGCCTTGTTTATACCAATGTCTCATCTCTTAATTTTCTGTAAAACAGTTACCGTCTAAACCATACAAATTCATACTCGATTACATTCCATTTTGTATTTTTTTAGACAGCAGACAGGTAATTCACATGCTATAATATTCATCCACTCAGTGGTTTCTGTATATTCAGAGTTGTACAACCATTCATCACAGTCTAACTTTAGAACATTTTAACCATCCTCAACCCCCCACCCTCCCAAAAAAAAAAAACCTGACCCATGCTAGTCACTCCTCCATCCATTATCCCCAGTCTAAGCAACCACTGATCTGCTGTCTATGGATTTAGGCATTCTGGATATTTCATATCAGTGGAATCCTACAATATGTGATCTTTTGTGACTAGCTTCTTTCACTTAGCATGTGTTCAAGCTTCCTTCATGTTATAGCATGGAATCAGCACTCTGTTCTTTTTTTTTTCTTTTGAGACGGAGTTTCACTGTTGTTACCCAGGCTGGAGTGCAATGGCACGATCTCGGCTCACTGCAACCTCCACCTCCTGGGATCAAGCAATTCTCCTGCCTCAGCCTCCCAAGTACCTGGGACTACAGGTACGCACCACCATGCCCAGCTAATTTTTGTATTTTTAGTAGAGATGGGGTTTCACCTTGTTGGCCAGGATGGTCTCGATCTCTTGACCTCGTGATCCACCCGCCTCGGCCTCCCAAAGTGCTGGGATTATAGGCGTGAGCCACCGCGCCCGGTCAAGCACTCTGTTCTTATTAATGGCCTATTCCATTGTATAGACATACCACACTGCAGTCATCAATTGACAGACATTGGATGTATTGTTCCTCTCTTTTTTTAAAAAAATAAGATAAAGTTTCACTATGTTGCCCAGGCTGGTCTTGAACCCCTGGACTCAAGCAACCCACCCACCTTGACCTCCCCAAAGTGTTGCTATTACAGGCGTCAGCCACCACCCTTAGCCCATATTGCTTTTAACAACTGGTAATCAATTTATTAAAATAGTTGACTTTGAGCATCTGCAATGGTGACTTCCGCCTCAATTCCTGGCTCAATACTGACGGAAACCAACTGCATAACAATCTCAGAAGAACTGTGTAAGTCAGTGGGTTGCTTGTGGATTTTCATCTGGAAATGATCCCACGTCTCAGAACCTTCACCACAAGTTTTTCTTATACTGATTTTCAAAGTCTTGGCAGGCATTCTAACTGGTCCCTTCACCTTGAGATTCCTTCTCTTTGTTCCTCTGATCAAGTCAGCACACGCTTTCTCCAGGGATTTTATATTGCGGCTCATTAGAGAGATTCGAATTTGGTGAATGGCCACCTCCAGCTTCACACGTGTTTTTTGGTATCCTTAAAAGCCATGGCTCCAGCGCGGCTTCCTGACTGACTTGTTCGGAATAGTGCTGAGTGAGAAGGAGCAGGCAGACTGCAGCTCCACACCACCTATGACCACATCTTAAAGAACTGGATTACTTCTTGTTTGAGGGACAGTTTCAAACTAGTTGCCCAGGTGGAGTGCAATGGTACGATCTCGGCTCACTGCAACCTTTGCCTCCTGGGTTCAAGTGATTCTCCTGCTTCAGCCTCCCAAGTAGCTATGATTACAGGCATGTGCCACCACACCCGGCTAATTTTGTATTTTTAGTAGGGATGGAGTTTCACCATGTTGGTCAGGCTGGTCTCAAACTCCTGACCTCAGGTGATCCACCCACCTTGGCCTCCCAAAGCGCTGGGATTACAGATGTGAGCCACCACTGTCGGCCTGTATTGCTTCTTTGTTGTCCAAAGTGTCCAAGTCTCTCCTAGAAATTAGCAAGCAACTCAGAGCAGACGTACCTATCATAATTGTCCCTTGGTTCCTAACAATGTCAGAAACCCAGAGACTACTGAATAAGGCCAGAACTGAAACTGGCGTCCAGCAAAAGCTAACTTTCAGAGGAACCAAAAATCAGCCTACCCTTGGGTTCTAGTGGCTTTTCCCCATGGCTAGGAGTTGCCCTTGGTGTGTGTCAGGGTCTGTTTACAAAGCAGGGATGATGCCACTTTCTTTTTTTTTTTTTTTTTTTTGAGACGGACTTTCGCTCTTGTTACCCAGGCTGGAGTACAATGGCGCAATCTCGGCTCACCGCAACCTCCACCTCCTGGGTTCAAGCAATTCTCCTGCCTCAGCCTCCTGAATAGCTGGGATTATAGGCATGCGCTACCATGCCCAGCTAATTTTTTGTATTTTTAGTAGAGACGGGGTTTCAACATGTTGACCAGTATGGTCTCGATCTCTTGACCTCATGATCCACCCGCCTCGGCCTCCCAAAGTGCTGGGATTACAGGCTTGAGCCACCACGCCTGGCCGATGCCACTTTCTTATAGGAAGAGATGGAACCAACTGCTTGTACGCTTACCAGGCCCTCCCCGTGCAGTGGTCCTGACCCTGGGCTATGTAAGGTGGCTGATTCAGGGGCATGACTGCGCACTGGCACCCTGCAACTATCATGTCAGTACTTTCCATTCTCTTTTGGTCTTTCCAGCATCCCTCACTTATGTCTTCATTAGAAAGGTCCTTGCATCTTCAGCTCCGGCTGCCCTGAGCCGGCCTTTCTCTGGTCAAGACCCATAGGCCAGGGTGTTGTTAGGTGTCCATTAGCAAAGGGTAAAGCTACTTGACACTTTTATTGGGCTGCCCAAGAAAGATGAAGAAAAAAACGCCACTTGATCGCTCAGTCACTTGAAACCAACATTTCAACTCTTGGAGAACCCGATTAATTGGAATCAGATACAAAGGTTGTCCGCAAAATGCATAATGGGGAAGCTGTGAGGGAAGCGGCACCAAAACACTTGCTTTATGCATTTTATGCATCTTGTTTCCTGAGAGACAAGGTGGGGAATGGAGGCTGGAGGGCATCTGCTATCTGGATTCCCCATGACCTAGCCTGAGGCTGGAAAAGGCTGGCTGTTCACTATTACAGGCTCTAGGTGCCATGTGTTAATAGTGCATTGTGGGCTGGGTGCAGACGCTCATGCCTGTAATCCCAGCCTCTTGGGAGGCCAAGGTGTGAGGACTGCTTGAGACTAGGAGTTCAAGACCTGCCTTGGCAACACAGCGAGACCCCATCTCTGAGAAAAGTAAAAAAATTAGCCAGGCATAGTGGTGCATGCCTGTAGTCCCTGGTACTTGGGAGGCTGAAGAGAGAGGATCCCGTGACCCAGGAGCTCAAGGCTGCAGGAGCTATGATCATGCCATTTTACTCTAGCCTGGGCAACAGTGAGACCTTCTCTCAACAACAACAACAACAAAAAGGTGCCTTATGCTTCCATGACAATAGAACAGAATCAGCGTTCTCATCAATAGGAGTGGGAAGGTCAGGGTTAGGGTTTAACTGGAACATCGTTAGAGGACTCAAGGTGCTGATCTCATTACCATGCAGGTTCCTGGGTCAAGGCAGGTGGTGGGTGGACCTTGGGAATTTGTGCAGGCTGCAACCAGTGCTCCTTTCAGTGCAAGCGACAGGGATTCACACATCAAACCTACCTTGCTTCTTTAACGTGCCTCTGTACCCTAAGAGGAAATTGGAAGCCCACCAGAGACCCACACTTTTTGGGTCCTTTCATCCTCAATGAAGCAGCTAGAAAGGACAGAGGCAGGATGGGAGGGGACTTTCCCATGGTGTGTTCAAGTTAAGGAACATGATGAATGATAATGAGGCCCTCTTCCCTTCCTACTTTCCCCCCAAATACTGCAGGCTTGTAACTCCCAACAACCCAATGTGTGCGGCATTTTGCTTCTGGCAGGACTGGACAAAAATCTCCCATAGTCATTTAAAAAGCAATCCTGGCTCACTGCAACTTCCACCTCCCAGGTTCAAGTGATTCTCATGCCTCAGTCCCCTGAGTAGCTGAGACTACAGATGAGCACCACCATGCCCAGCTAATTTTGTATTTTTAGTAGAGATGTGGTTTTGCTCTGTTGGCCAGGCTGGTCTTGAACTCCTGACCTTAAGTGATCCGCCCATCTTGGCCTCCCAGTTGATTCTAAATCTGTGTCTTCCACCAGCCATGGGCTCTATAAAGCGTGTGGGAATGGAACCATGAAGAAGCCCAAACCCATACAAACCTTGCTATTCTTAGGAAAAAATGAGACCCCAGTTCTCAAAAATCTAAGGCGAAAACAGGGAACTTTCTTCAACACAGCTACTATTAGGTGATTCTGGGAGCCCTTGTCACTGTGCAAGGCCCAGAAGACATATATCTTGCCCTAACCGGGGCACTAAGAATTGCATAGTGCCTTGATATGCATGAAGATTTTATAAGACAAGTGGAGAATGTCAGGACCAAGCACAGGCAGGTTCCGCACAGGCTCTGAGGTCATGAAACACAAAGTACTGGCAGTGAGAGCAGAGGGTGGACAAAATGGTAGGGAAGGGAGGGGGAGGATTTAGATGGGAAGTAAAACATCTGTGGGGAACGAAAGAGAATGAGGTGCTTATAGGCATGGCTGTGCCTTGGTCTGAGGGGCAGTGGGAAACCAGGCCAGGCTGGGAGAAAACAGTAACAAATAATGTTTTCAATTTGTACTTGAGGGATAGAACAGAGCCACCAGATACCCCAGGGAACACACCTCTCTGCAGAGACTATGAATGCAGGCCATTCATGTCACATGGACAAATGCACCTGAAAATGCATGCTGAAATATCACTTCACCAGCCTGGGCCCATGGCAGCCACTCTGGTCTGGAAGTCATCCATCCCCAAACCCCACAACTTAACAGGAACCGGGTGAAGAATAACAACATATTTGCATAGCACTCTGCAATTTACCAGGTGCCTTCCCATATATTATCTAGGGATCCATCAACATCTGAGTAAACAGCAATACTACTACTGGCCAACATTTCCAGCATGCTCACTAAATCCCATAGGCCGAGCAAAGCTTTGAACACAGACCCTCCCGTTTCATCCTCAGAGGAACCTTATGAGATTGATCCTATTGTGATTCCTATCCTATGATGTGGAGGCTTACTACACACCAGCATAGTTCTCAGTATGTGTTAACTTAAAACCCTGTGAAGTATTTAATAGTTAGAATTCTTGGCCAAGTGCAGTGGCTCACGCCTGTAATCTGAGCACTTTGGGAGGCTGAGGTGGGCGGATCACGAGGACAAGAGTTCAAGACCAGCCTGACCAACATGGTGAAACCTGGTCTCTACTAAAAATACAAAAATTAGCCAGGCATGGTGGCGCACGCCTGTAATCTCAGCTACTCGGCAGGCTGAGGCAGGAGAATCACTTGAACCCAGGAAGTGGAGGTTGCATTGAGCTGAGGTTGCGCTACTGCACCTCAGCAAACAAGACCCCGTTTCAAAAAAAAAGCAAAAATTTCCTGGGCATGGTGGTGGACACCTGTGCCTGTGATCCCAGCTACTCAGGAGGCTGAGGCTGAGGTAGGAGTATTGCTTGAACCCAGGAGTCAGAGGTTGCAGTGAGCTGAGATTGTGTCACTGCACTCCAGCCTAAGCAACAGAGTGAGACCCTGTCTCAAAAAAAAAAGTTAGAATTACTATCTTCAGGCTGGGCGCACTGCCTGGGCTCATGCCTGTAATTCTAACACTTTGGGAGACTGAGGTGGGTGGAACATGAGGCCAGGAGTTCAAGACCAGCCTGGCCAACATGGTGAAACCCTGTTTCTACTAAAAATACAAAAAATTTGCCAGGTGTGGTGGTGCACGCCTGCACTCCCAGCTACTTGGGACACTGAGACAGGAGAATCACTTGAACCTGGGAGGTGGAGGTTGCAGTGAGCCAAGATTGCACCACTGCACTCCAGCCTGGGCAACAGAGCCAGGCTCAGCTAGGTAGTAAGTAGCAGAGCTGGGATTCAAACACAGGTAGCCTGGTTCTCCAGAATCCACACACATCCAGAGTCCAGCTTTACAAAGCAGCCTCAACCTTCGTGGTGTCGTGACCTCCCCAGGTGAGGAAGCCCTTCTGGCTCAGCCCTTTGATTGTCTAATGGCACCTCTACAACCTACCTCCTCCTGCGAGATTCTGAAGTTGGTTGCTTTGGCCTTATCCTCCCTTCCCTCCCTCATTTCCTCAAGCCCATAGCTTACATCAATCATTACCTTACAGTTGAGTGCTTTTAATTATAAAACACACTCTCCTGCCCCTGCGAGTCCAGCAGGCTCAGCTGTCCAAATGCAGCAGGGGAGGAAATGGGGGAGCTATTCATTGTGATAGGAGCAGACTCAGGAACAGGAATAATGCCCCATTTTGGCATCGCACTCAATATTTCATAGGGCCTGCTTCTTCATGTCCAGGTAACTCATGTTCCTTCCCATTTAAACATGGAAAAATGGAGCTTGGGAGATAGATGGCTCACGAAGTCACAAAACGGGGACAAGCTCTAGAGGCTGCATGTGCTGAGTCCTGGTCCCCTCCACTGTGTCCAGCTTCTCTCCCAGGGCTCAGTCCAGCAAGCACTGTCACAGCACACAGAGTGATGAGGGGTGGCCCACTCCACATCTGTGCTGCTCTGTCTGGGCCATAGGAGACAGTACCCTGCCTCCCCTGTCCTCAGCTCAATCCCCAGCAGTCACCTGACACCTTCTCTCTTCTTGAATCCCTCACTCTTAATTACAGATTACAGCTGATGACCCCTCATGACCACTGAGAAGATGAAGAACGCTGGGCAAAGGAGCTGGTCAACCCTCCCCCTAGGCCACATCCTCTGGACCACACAAGCTCACAGGGGTCCCGGCTCTCAAGCCCTGATGGCTCCAGACCTGCCTGCTGCCTCCTGTCCCCCCAACACTCCATGAGAGCCCCAAGTTGTCTGGAGCCTCTCAATCATCTCCTCTTCTGCCCCTGGTAGAGCCACTGCCCTAGTTCCACCTCCCCGGTGGAGCCAATATCCTTACTGCCCCTTTGATTTCCCTTTTCTTCTCCTAATTGCCTTCCTCCTTCTCTCTCTCCAACAAGCAATCATCTCCATCACTTTCCTAGGCCTTAAAACTCACTCTTCTGAGACTGGCCCAACTACATTCTCCACCTCCCAGCAACCTGAATGTGCCTTCCCCTAGACCTGAACATGCCCGTGGCCGTGTCTCGCACTTCCTCGTATTGCTGGAATGCCAGGAGGTCTTTGTCTTACCTACTCTACGTTCTGTACCCCAAAGGGCCTAGGGCTTCGATAACTGGCCCCCAACAAAACCAAGGCATCCTCTCCAGTAGCATGATGCCTCAGGGCAGCCATTTCTATCACCCCTGTTCCATCTTTTTGATTTCTGGATTTCTGGGTTAACAAAATTAGGAGAGAAAGGCTGAACTCCTCAGCAACATGGCGGAACTGGTGGTCCAGGAATGTTTACAGTCTTGGTACAAACTCCCCAGAGATAAATGAGGGGGCAATTGTGGCTGGGGGAGGAACTCGGGGTGGCTTTGAAAGCAACTTAAAAGGAGCACAGAACGGCACAGCAGGGTTCCGGGGGCCCTCTGCAGAGGTTTTTTTATTACCTTATTTTGGCTTTGAAATGGAACTGAAAACTTACCTTCGGCTGGCAGGACCCGGCCAGAGTGCAGAAGCATCTCGCCAAGTCCTGGGTCACAGCCACCACCCTACAGGGGTGGAGACAGGAGCCTGAAACATGTGTTTCCCTCAACTCATGGAGTCCACAAGTAGGAAAGCTGCAAAAATGGGGTGCACAGGTATGTGTGGAAGGAGAGCCGGGAGCACCAAATCAATTAGTGAGGCCTGACACCCAGGGCCACTGGCGTCCACCAGGCCCCGACCCGGGGGATTTGGAGAAGTGCTTTTTTTTTTTAAATTGAAGAAAGTGAAAAGAGTAAGAAGGGACATTTTGCATGCAAATGGGCCACTGCCAGAAGAGCCTATTAAAATGTAAAAACTCCACATTCAGCCTGACAAAACGGTGCAAACTGCTGTGTTTGCCAGAGGGCCGGCAATAAAGCTCACAACAAAGGGGCCGGGGGACAATGGCGGGCTGAATGGCCCCTGCCAGCAGGTCCCCCCTCGCGTTGCCATGGGGACCCCACCGGGGCTTACTAAAGGTATTTCCTGAGGAGAAAGGCCGCGCACACAGGCCCAGGCAGCCTGGCTAATCCTGACAGGAAGCCATGGCCATTCAGCAGCCCAGGGGCTTGGGGCCTGGAGTTTTGTTTTGTTTTTATTAAAAAAAGATTTCGGCCTTTTGTGTGTCCCACCTCATCACTGTAATTTACTGCGGAGCCGCCAGCGCTGGCCAAAGTCACAACCCGGGCCCTGCGACCGCCCCAAGACCCCCCCAAAAACAGGTCACCCCCCACCTAGCTCAGCCACAAGACACGTGTAGAACCCCACTTGGGAACCCCAGGCGGAAAGCACTCTCGGCCTGGAGAGCTCCGTGTGGATCTTAAGAGGCAAGGGTCTCTGGGTGCTTAAGGAGCCTCAGAACTGAGTTTGGGGTTGGAGCTTCTGTGCACGTGTTCATCTGATGCCTCCTTCAAATCTGTACTTTTTTCCTCTAGGGATTTTGCCACCTTTCTCCAATGACCGAGGGGCACCAGCACCCCCACCTCCTCCCCACCTGTGCTGGGAGAAGCACTGTAATTACGTGATTAACAAAGGAATGCACCCAAGAGTTGTCTTAAATGAAGCTTCCCTCCTTCCTCTCTCCCCAGCAAAAGTTCTCACCCCATTGTTTACTGATGCATTAAGAACAGAGCTGTAGCGAAAACTCTTACTACACCCATTCGCTCAACCTCCTCCCAACACACCTTGCTTCTCTCCCTCCAATCTAACCAGGAGGAAAGCACTGCTCTGGAAAGAGGGAAGTTCACTCACTCATCCGAGAGGAGCAAAGGTAGCCGCCCTGCAGCTATGGGAGGAGCGCGGTCCACGCTCACAGTTCCTAGAAGTTTGTGTCACCATTTCACATTTGGCACCAGAATCCAGCCTTGGCAGATTCAGGGAAGAGAGCCAATGACACAGCTGGCGGTAGAGACAGAAACTCCTGTGTGACAACTGCCCCCTAGGACACAGTTTAGGGTCAATTAACATTTCCTGAACAACTTGTGAGTGGAAAGAGCCATCCCCAGTGAAGACTGAAAAATGAAAGAGGCTCAACTTATCCATTATGACTTGAACCCACGTCTATCTGTGTTTGCAAAGGCTGTGCTGTTGCATCCAGACCTCCACCAAAAACAAGTTTTGGGCCTGGTATTTTAATAGAACCAAAGAGAGGAAAACATACTATTTTGGAGGCATTAAGACTGTGACTAGGAACTGCCGCGGATACCTTGCGAAGCTTCTAAGGCCATATTGGGTGGGTCCCATTTTGGGAAAATAAGCTGGGGCATCTGCACAATGATAGAAAGCTCCCAGGATCTGGTAAGGACCACTTAGGTAGACTGAAAGTTGGGGGGATCTAAACACTTAGGTTGGGGAGGTCTTCTCCTGCCTTTATTATAAATCACATCCTAAACCCAAAGCAAAGTCCAACTCAAAATCACCTGTGACAGCACGTAAGAACATTTCCACCAAGTTGCTAGCTAAAGTGGTGTGTGTGCGTGTGTGTGTGTAGGGGTCCCACTGCTGCAGGGGAGTTCAGACCCTCCCACTACTGGCCCAGAGCCCAGGCCTCCCAGCCATGTGTCTGCAGCTGTGACCTGTCATGTACTTCCTGGTCTGGGTTCTGTAATGGAAAGATCATTAAGAGCGGGGGAGGGTAAAGAGATGAATCAATGGCAAAGAGGTAACCCTGCAGCTCCCACTCTCCACTGAGCTCTGACCTTAAAGTTCGGTCAGGTTCCTTAAAGAAAAGAATGTATCACCCTCCCCCCACCTCACCCGGCCTGGGCCTCTCGAACAACCTCCCCTCCCCCAAGCTCAGCAGAAATTGTATGGGGAAGGAAACGCGGGCAGCTGGGCAGGGAAAAGTTGCTGCTCCCTAAACTTGCTGATGAATTAGTAGAGGCCTCATCTGTTTCAGGATGTGCCTTCTGGCCCCCCAAGCCTGCCATGGGTGGCTGAGCCCACAGTTCACCTGGACTCTCAGTGCTCCAAACGTCTGCCATCTCCCCCAATCCCATCTCATCCCTGCAAGGGTGGGGCTGGGTCACAGCCCACTCAGAGTGGAGAAAGGAATGGGCTTCATAAAGTTATCTTTTTTCCACCGTAAAGAAATTCTTATGGTTTTACACGATGAGACTGAGACAATGAATAATCCTTTGAAAATGAAAAGGCACAGAATAGTGGATACCAAGGGCCGGAAGAGGGGAGATGGGGGAGTTAGTATTTAACGAGTGGGGCATCAAGGAAGGTAAAAAAGTTCAGGAAATAGATGGTGGTAATGGCTGCACAACAGTGTGAATAAGCTTAGTGCCTCTTAATGCCACAGAGCTGTACACTTAAAAATAGTGAAAATCTACCACAAAGAAATGATGAATATTTAAAGTGATAGATGTGCCAATTACCCTGATTTGGTCATTATATAACGCGTGTGTGGATTAAAACATCATACTGTACCCCACGATTATACATAACCATTATACATCAATTAAAAATTTAAAAATTGGTCAGGCATGGTGGCTGACACCTCTAATTCTAATACTTTGGGAGGCTGAGGTGGGAGGATTACCTGAGTCCAGGAGTTTGAGATCAGCTTGAGCAACAAAGTGAGACCTCATCTCTACCAAAAAATATCCAAAAAAAAATAAAAAACAAAACAAAAAAGCACAAAATTAGCCAGGCATGGTGGCATGTACCTGTAGTCCCAGATACTCAGGAGGCTGAGGTGGGAGGATCTCTTGAGCCCAGGAGGTCAGGCTGCAGTGAGCTGAGAGTGCAACACTGCACTCCAGCCTGGGTGACAAAGTGAGACCCTGTCTCAAAAAAATAATCAATAAACTTAAAAAAATAAAAATGGTCAATTTTATGTTACATATATTTTACTGCAATGAAAGAATTAGATGGCAATGGTAGGAGGCAGCATTAGTTTATTTTAAATGTTCTTACTTGGCAAAAAAGTTGGTAATCCTTTGTTGGTTCCAAAAATTTGGGGGGAAATTTTGCTGGCCCATGAAATCTAAAAATCTGGGACCAATGGTCTGTTCCATGAATTTCCAGGAGAGCACATACCCAGAGACTGCTTCATTCATATCCCATCCATCCACACACCACATATTCATCCTTCAGTCTCGCTTTTATGCACACAGTATGAATACTGAGCATTTAGTACTCTCAGTTTAAAAAAATTAAAAACATGGGCAGGTGGAGTAGCTCATGCCTCTAATCCCAGCACTTTGGGAGGCCGAGGTGGGTGGATCATGAGGTCAGGAGTTCAAGATCAGCTTGGCCAACATGGTGAAACCCCATCTCTACTAAAAATACAAAAATTAGTTGGTTGTGGTGGCGGGGGCCTGTAATCCCAGCTACTCGGGAGGCTGAGGCAGAGAACTGCTTGAACCTGGGAGGTGGAGGCTGCAGTGAGCTGAGACTGCACCACTGCACTCCAGCCTGGGCAACAGAGAGAGACTCCAGCTTAAAAAAAAAAAAAAAAAAAAAAAAAAGCCAGGCATGGTGACTCAAGCCTGTAATCCCAGCACTTTGGAAGGCTGAGGTGGGCAGATCGTGAGGTCAGGAGATTGAGACCATCTGGCTAACATGGTGACACCACATCTCTACTAAAAATACAAAATTAGCTGGGCGTGGTGGCATGTGCCTATAGTCCCAGCTACTCCGGAGGCTGAGGCAGGAGAATCGCTTGAACCCAAGTGGCAGAGGCTGTGGTGAGCCAGGATTGGGACGCTGCACTCCAGCCTAGGCAACAAGGGGAAACTCCATCTCAAAAAAAAACCATGGTTTGGGGATTTTTTTGTTTTGAGACAGGGTCTCACTCTGTAATGCAGGCTGAAGAACAGTGACACAATTTCAGTTTACTACAGCCTCCACCTCCCTGGGTTAAGTGATCCTCCCACCTCAGACCCCAAGTAGCTGGGAGTACAGAAGGTGCCACCACGCCTAATTTTTTTGTAGAGACAAGGTTTTACCATGTTGGCCAGGCTGGTCTTGAATTCCTGACCTAGATGATCTGCCCGTCTGGGCCTTCTAAAGTGCTAAGATTGATTATAGGCGTGAGCCATGGTGCCCAGTCAGTTTCAGATTTTTCTACCTGAGAGGGTGTGGCTCTGTGGTAGCCAGGAAGCTAAAACCTAGTATCTATGCTTAGGGCTCCAGTGACCTGGGGATCTAGAACAATCCTGGGGAAAGAGCCTTACTCTTGGCAAAGTCACTGTTCTCCATGTTCTACTGGAAGAGAGAGAATATACTTTGAGGTCCTTGTAAAACCATTTAGTCCCACAGGTGATGTCACTGGCTGGGCACTACCAGAGAGAGCACCTGAAGAAGCCACTCAGGTGACAGCTGATCACTTATTGTGTGACCTCAGGCAAGTCACCTCCCCTTTCAGGCCTTGGTTTCCTCCACTGTGAAATGAGAAGGCTGACTGGCCGTGTCCCTTCCAGCCCTAACCAATGTCCCCTGTTTCAGCTGGGTCTTGTGAGATGATAGGGGGTATTGCTTGCTGACATCCCTTCCCGTGCCCACTGTGAGCACAGAGCTCCCTCGGATGTGAGGGAAGTGAAGAGTCCTCAACTGAACTGTCTTTCAGAATAAAAGATTCTGTGTTGGTCCCAGGGCTCTGGCCACCAGCACCTTCAATAAATGCTTCTCCTCTTCATCCCTTCTCCATGGCTTGGGGTGCTTCTCGAGAATCTAAGACTGGCAGAAAGCCCAGCTATACTTGGAGGATTCACTTTGTCATCTTTTGATGGTCATGATATATTACCCCAGAACGACTAGGTACATTTTTTAAATGCATTGGGAATTTGGGGGTAGTGAAGAATGGCTAAAATTGTAAAATAAACGTCACCTTCAAGTGCATGTCAGGCATTCATAGCCTTGATTGCACATAGCATATGCAATTGACACTTCATTTTTGGGGGCGATGGAGTCTCACTCTGTTGCCCAGGTTGGAGTGCAGTGGTGGGGTCTCAGCTCACTGCAACCGCTGCCTCCTGGTTCAAGTGATTCTCCTGTCTCAGTCTCTGGAATAGCTGGAAGTACAGGCCCTGCCACCACACCTGGCTAATTTTTTTAAAAATATATTTTTTAGTAGAGACACTCATTATGTTTGCCAGGCTGGTCTTGAACGCCTGACCTCAGGTGATCCGCCTGCCTCAGCCTCCCAAAGTGCTGGGATTACAGGTGAGCCAGTGGCTGGCCACAACTGACACTTGAATCATGACATTCCAAGTTTTGAATGTCTAAAGGAGAACTTCATTCAGGAGTTAGCAAAGGAATCTGATTCTTCTAAGGTTCAAAAGCTAATTCCTAAAACCTAAGGAAAATAAACCTTAATTCTAAAAGTAAACTCTGTAGTTTGACAACAGAGGAGCAGAATTTTCTGAATGCGAGAAAGGACACTTCTGAAGGGCTGGAGCACTGATCAGCATTGTAAAGGCAGCGATAATTGACCAGAAGCTGTGGCAGAGCAGGCCAGCACGCCAGGAAAAGGGTGTCCTTCCTTCCTAGGAAAGCTCTTAGATCACTTCCCTGTCCCACTCCTTCTCCTCCCTCATGCCTCCAAGGCAAAGGGACTCAGCCCTTTCCCACCTATTTTGTCTTTCTTCTCCTAGACTCTGACATTCCATCCTCCTCACCCAGGACAGGGATTAGAGTTTAGATAACCTGAGACTTGGCTCCACCATTTATTAGCTATTGTACCTTGGCAAGTTTTTGCTTGTTTTACCTCTGTCAGCCAGTTTTCTAAACTGTTAAATGGAAATAGTGTCTGACAGACTTTCTTGGGATGAGAATTAATTGATACCAGATATTCTCAAAGTGTGGTCCCTGGACTGGTAGCATCAGCATTCCTTGGAACTTGTTAGAACTGTCAAGCTTGGGCATTTTCATAACCCCTCCAGGTGACACTGAGCCATGGAAACCTGGGGCCACTGCATGAGATACTCAATACATGATAGAAATAACTATTTCTCGGCCAGGTGCGGTGGCTCACGCCTATAATCCCAGCACTTTGGGAGGCTGAGGCGGGTGGATCACGAGGTCAAGAGATCGAGACCAACCTGGTCAATAAGGTGAAACCCCGTCTCTACTAAAAATATAAAAATTAGCTGGGCATGGTGGTGTGCGCCTGTAGTCCCAGCTACTCGGGAGACTGAGGCAGGAGAATTGCTTGAACCCAGGAGGCAGAGGTTGCGGTGAGCTGAGATCGTGCCATTGCACTCCAGTCTGGGTAACAAGAGCGAAACTCCGTCTCAAAAAAAAAAAAAGAAATAACGATTTCTCACCTATCTTCCTTACCTTCCTATTGAAAAAGGTTCTCTTCCTTGCATTTCCTTTTTAAAGCTAGAAATATTAGGTATCTTAAAAAAAAAAAAGAAAGAAAATGAATTGTTACTTACCTGTGAATTTACTTATTCAAGAAATATAAACTGGCTGGGCGTGGTGGCTCACGCCTGTAATCCCAGCACTTTCGGAGGCTGAGGCAGGTGGATCACGAGGTCAAGAGATCGAGACCATCCTGGCCAAAGTGGTGAGACCTTGTCTCTACTAAAAATACAAAAATTAGCTGGGTGTGGTGGCACATGCCTGTAGTCTCAGCTACTTGTGAGGCTGAGGGAGGAGAATCGCTTGAACCCGGGAGGTGGAGGTTGGTTGCAGTGAGCTGAGATTGCGCCACTGCACTGCAGCCTGGCTACAGAGCGAAACTCTGTCTCCCAAAAAAAAAAAAAAAAAGTATTAATTGAGCAGATAATATGTAACGGACGGACGGACGGACACACACACACACACACACACACACACACACACACGCATTGTAGCCCCAACAAATGATGATCAATCTGTCCCCTCACTTTGGAAAAAAAACCATCACCAGTGGGTTTTTAAAAATTATTATTATTTTTTGAGACAGGGTTTCACTCTGTCACCTAGGCTGGAGTGCACTGTCACGATCACAGCTCACTGCAGCCTCGACCTCCTGGGCTCAGGTGATTCTCCACCCTGTCTTCCAGCAGCTGGGACTGTAGGTGCCCACCAACATGCTCAGCTATTTTTTGTGGAGTCAGGGTTTTGCCATGTTGCCCAGGCTGGTCTCAAACTCCTGGGCTCAAGCGATCTGTACACTTTGGCCTTGAAAAATGCTGGGATTATAAGCATGAGTCACCATGCCTGGCCTTAAAAAAAATTGTTTTTTAATTAGTATAAATGTAGGAGCTACATGGATATATTGGGTATATATATTATTTTAAAATAAAATTATTATTTTAAAATTACCTGTTAACTAATTTCTCATCCCTCACCCCACCTTCCCCCACCTGTGGTTTCTGATGTCCTCATAACCTGGATTTTGTGTGCTTATATGACACTTCTTAAATGAGTCATTTATTGTGTTTGCATATGTCTTTAACACTGGCCAGTGCTGGACCTAACCTGTGGTGAGAGGGTGGAGAACAGCATTTGTCCTAGGCCCCGAATACAAGCATTCAAGCGGGGCCTCCAAGACTTTTGATGTTTTTCCTCTCGAAGTCAATGAACAGAACTGGAAGAAAAGCCCAACGACTTTCAGTAGATCTGCATTCTGCTCTTGGGGCATTGCAGGTAGTCCACACCTCGGATTTAATACACACTTTACAAACTGTGTAGCTCTTCTGTGCCTGGCCCAAGTGTGAGTGAAATCCTGTCTCAACTGCATTGTAATATATATATATTTTTTGCTTAAAACATTAATTTGTTCAACACTAAGATAAACAAAATTTCAGAACTCCCTACTGTTTTTGCATTTCCTCATTATTTATATATTTTACCTTTTGAGACAGGATCTCACTCTGTTACCCAGGCTGGAGTGCAGTGGCACAATCTCAGCTCACTGCAACCTCTACCTCAGGCTCAGGTGATCCTCCTGCCTCAGCCTCCTGAGTAGCTGGGACTGCAGGCGCCCACCACCACATCCAGCTAATTTTTTTTTGGTAGAGGAGTTTACGCCATGTTGCCCAAGCAGGTCTCCTGAGCTCACTCTATCTACCCACCTCAGCCTCCCAAAGTTCTGGGATTACAGGGGTGAGCTGCCATGCCTGGCCCTTCTTATTTAAAAAATACACTACCGGCCTGGTGCTGTGGCTCAGGCCTGTAATCCCAGAACTTTGGGAAGCCGAGGTGGGCAGATCACCTGAGGTCAAGAGATCGAGACCAGTCTGGCCAATGTGGTGAAACCCCACCTCTACTAAAAATACAAAAATTAACGGGCGTGGTGGCGTGTGCCTATAATTCCAGCTACTCAGGAGGCTGAGGCAGGAGAATTGCTTGAACCTGGGAGGTGGAGGTTGCAGTGAGCTGAGATAGAGCCATTACACTCCAGCCTGGGTGACAGAGCAAGACTTCGTCTCAAAAAAACAAAAAGAAAACCCACTAGTAACCTCAAAAAAAATGTTAATGCTTCAGCCTCTAAAACTTTTGATATGTTTAATTCCACCATCAGACATTGTCGGACAATAACCATATTAGAAGCAGTCTAGTTTATGTGTCCAGGCAATACCCATGCCATACATTCTAGGCTAACTGTGACTTATGAAGAAAACTCAGGTGTGGGATCTAACATGCTGGCAACCTCTGATCCTAGACCTTCTCCAAGTAGGTCTCTGGCAACAGTGAAAATGGCAGCATCAATGGGGATTTTGTTCCACCGATTATTCTAGGCTAAGGGACCTTGTTCATTAAGGCAGCTCACAGACCTGTTACTGTGTAACCTCCCTACAGAATGCCACAAGAGACATTACTGCACACACACACACACACACACACACACACACACACTACCCAACAAAGAAAGGGGACACCAGACTCCTGTGAGACAAAGGGGACTGAGTCAGCAATGTTTACCTTGAGAAGTTGGTCCACATGGATTTTGTGGGGAAACCCAATTTGATATAGAAACTTAGTGCAATACAACAGGGGAAAAAAATACTGTAGTCTGAACCACCTGAGTTTAAATCCTAGTTCTACCCCTCACACACTATATAAACTTAGATAGGTTACTTAACCCCCCAAAACCTCAGTTTAGTCATCTGATTACGGTCATAAAACCTATGTCTGTGGAATCATTGTAAAAATGGGAAAATGTCAAGCATGCAGAGTGTGGTGATGATATTTATTATTATTATTACTTTGGAGACAGAGCCTTGCTCTGTTGCCCAGATTGGAGTGCAATGGTGCAATCTCAGCTTACTGCAACCTCCACTTCCCAGGTTTAAGCGATTCTCTTGCCTCAGCCTCCTGAGTAGCTGGGACTACAGGTGGCCACCACCACGACTGACTAATTTTTGTATTTTTAGTAGAGACGGGGTTTTGCCATGTTTCCAAGGCTGGTCTTGAACTTCTCACCTCAAGTGCTCTTCCTGCTTCAGTCTCCCAAAGTGCTGGGATTACAGGTGTGAGCCACGGTGCCTGGCTGGTATTTATTATTATTTTAAAAGACACTTAACAGACAAGCTTGTAATCCCAGCACTTTGGAAGGCTGAGGCAGGCAGATCACAAGGTCAAGAGATCATGACCATCCTGGCCAACATGATGAAAACCTGTCTCTACTAAAAATACAAAAATTAGCTGGGTGTGGTGGCATGTGCCTGTAGTCCCAGTTGCAGGGAGGCGAGGCAGGAGAATCACTTGAACCCAGGAGGCAGAGGCTGCAGTCAGCTGAGATCACGCCACTGCACTCCAGCCTGGTGACAGAGCAAGACTCTATCTCAAAAAAAAAAAAAAGCAAAAAATACAAACAAAGAAAAAAAGGCATTTACTAGTATAATCTTTTGGGGGCAATTTGGTATAGTGATATAATAGTGATATAATCAAAACTTAAAAAAAATGTAACTATCCTTGGATACATGGACAGATTTTATTTGTAAGAGTACGTTCTATTGAATGCAAAGTATTGAAAATAACCTAAATGCCCAAATGTAAAGGACTGGATAATTTTTTTTATACCCACACAATGGAATATTATGTAGTTCTTAAGCATTATGAAATATATTCTTGGTATGGCTACAAATGCTGACATCAGTTACAAAACATACATACAGCATAAATCCCAATTCTAAAAAGTCAGATTTAGATAAATGCAAGAAAAAAGTCTAAAATAATAAATTCCATTAACAGTGATTAGTTTTGCATGGTAGAAATATAGGAGTTTTCCTTTTCCTCTTTATAAGTCTGAATTTTCTAACGTTTGAAAGATGAACCCAGACTACATATCAAGCACCATTTTTTTCCTGAGACAGAATTTTGCTCTTTTGCCCAGGCTGGAGTGAAGTGGTGCCATCTCAGCTTGCTCTGTCTCCCAGGTTCAAGCCATTTTCCTGCCTCAGCCTCCCAAGTAGAGGTGCTTGCCACCACATCAAGCCCAGCTAATTTTTATATTTTTAGTAGAGATGGGGTTTTGCCATGTTGGCCAGGCTGGTCTTGAACTCCTGATCTTGGGTGATCCACCTGCCTGGGCTTCCCAAAGTGCTGGAATTACAGTCATGAGCCACCACACCCAGCCTAAACACTAATGTTTTAAAAAAGAGAGATAAAGATATACTTGCTGACTATACAGAACTTTGCTCTAGTGGAATAAACAGACATGTATTAAAAACTCCACATAATGTGAGGCAGAGTAAAATAAGTGTTAGAATGTAAGTTAAAAAGCAGCCAGGTGCAATGGCTCACGCCTGTAATCCCAACAGTTTAGGGGACTGAGGCCAGAGGGTTGCTTGACATCAGCAGTTCGAGACCAGCCTGGGCAACGGTGTGAGACCCACTCTCTAAGATAACTTGAAGTTCAAGACCAGCCTGGGCAACGGAGTGAGACTCACTCTCTAAGATAACTTGAAGTTCAAGACCAGCCTGGCCAGGATGATGAAACCCTGGCTCTACCAATATATATATATATTTTAGAAAAAAAATTATCAGGGCATGGTGGCACACACCTATAGTCTCAGCTACTCGGAAGCCTGAAGGAGGAGAATCACTAGAACCTGGGAGGCGGAGGCTGCAGTGAGCCATGATTTCGCCATTGTACTCCAGCCTGGGCGACAGAGTAAGACTATGTCTCAATAAATAAATAAATACATACATAAAAAATAGAAAAGAAAAAATGAGGTGATTAATTTGGAGATAGGGGAAGGCTTCAAAAGGGAGGTAGCCCTTAAGTTAAGCCTTAATTGAAACCCAAGCTAAGATTTGAGCAGGAATTATAAAAAGTGAAAAGGAAGAAAAGGAATGGAACAGACATTTACAGCTAAGGGACCAGGATAAACAATATATAACGTATATGTTGTATTTATGGAAAAAGGAAGAAATTTGCTTGACTGGATGAATGAATAAATGAGTGAGTGAAAAAAATCGGTGACTGAATGGACCGTGAGCCAGGAGCTAGTTTTTCCTCCTACAGAAAAGTGAGGAAGGGCCAAGCTCTGAATTCAATGTTCAGTGTTGGTTAACTCTTTGAAACCTCAGTGTTGCTGTTTCTGACCTCTTTCCCTGCCCAAGCTCATAACTACTAAGTCCAGTATTTGCAAAACTTGACCCTCTCCCCACTTCAGGCTCCCTTTGTCTCCATGTCCAGGGCCTGGGAACACAAATGGCACAGCCCCCACCCCACCATCCTCCTGCTTTTACATAACCCATTCCAGGAGGCTCAGCCACACCACAACATATGAAAGAGAGTGGGGAGTTTCAAGTTCTGCCAGGGTGGATCTTTCTCAGCGCCTGAAACCAACTAAATAGATCCGTCACCCCACAGCCCCTAGTTTGCAGGGCACAAATCCTTTACATGAAGGCAGTGGGCACCTCATTTGGCAAGCAGAAAGGCAAGAGTTGTTGTGAGCCAAGAAACAGGAGAAGGGAGGGAACTCTGAGGGCCGAAGTTCAACGTCTCTTGGTGCCACACTGGCAACGCTAGGAGGCAACAGGCCCGCTACCAGGGAGGAGAGGTTTGGGCAATCGGCCCTGCTACTTGGCTGCCACCAGCTGGAAGTCAGAGCAAACCCAAGGCCAGAAGTGGCCCAGACTCCGGCAGGCTTCTCCTAGGAGGAAACAGTTTGGGATTTAGCCTAGGCCTTTGAGATCCAGGTAGGGCAGTAAGCTTTCAGCTTAATCACTTAGGGTGCAGTGGGGCTAGGGAGTAGGGTGGGTGGGGAGAAGCAGTGCCTGCAAGTCTGTGAACAAGCTGGACTCAGGAGGAAGGCCTGGGCTACCCCATTCAGGAGCCCAGGAGGATGAGAGCAGCTGGACTTCCCCGGTCAGCAGGGAAACAGTTGTCTCATTTCCAAGCTTCACGGAAGGAAGAAAGAGGCAAAGGCGGTGTCTACAGGGTGAGCTGGAGCCCCCAGTGGCCCTGGAGGAACGAGGTATTGTGAAAACAGGGCCAGCTGCTGGTCAGGCTCCCTGACCCCAGACCTCGCCCTCTAGGATAATGACTCCCCAGCACTCACTTCTCCTAGGGCCATCCATCACCGCCCAGACACAAGCCATCACTCACTGCTTCTGCCTGGCCCAGAGCAAACACCCCACCGGGCTGGGGCCACAGGCTCCCAAAGAATCCCTGACACCGCCTCTCCAGTTCCTGCTGACCCGACTCCAGGTAGTCACAGAAACCAGGTGATGGAAACTAGACAGCGTCTTTGTTTGGGAGCCCTCCCTTCCCCCACTGGCAGCGAGTTTTCTGGACAGCCATTTGTTCTTCCCTGAGAAATTCCTCCTGCCTGACTTCAGGGAGTGGGCCTGGCAGAGACAGAGTGGAAAATCAGTGAAGCTAATGGTGTAGCAATGCAGAAGCTGGAGCCAAGAACACAGCCTCGGAGTGGCTTTGCTGCGCTCGCCCCAGCTTGGTTAAGAGAGCCAGCCACGTGAGCGTCCTCACATTCTCTCACAGGCCGAGGGCTGGGTCCTCCCTGTCTGGCTCTAAACACTTGCAAACATCCCTTCCAAGGCATTGGAACCACCTCTCCAGGGGAAGTGGGACAGAGCTGATCCTCTGGAGAAAGCTGTTAGCTTAGCACCTTGCAGATTTCTAGAGGCCTAAATCCTCCACCCTTGTTCTCAAGTGGGTCATCTGATATCACCTTTTGCTCCATGGAATTCCACTCACCTTCCAGCAGGGGATGAAGAAACTCCTCTTACCATCCAGTGTGAATGAGAAGCAAACAAGTTCTTTTCACCTGAAGAAATTCTGCTGGAGATGGGGTGGGAGTAGGGGAGGGTCCTGCCTGTGTCCAAGGGCAGCCTTGGGACACTGGACCAGTGTAGATGCTAGACTGGTGGCGGGACAGAGGGTGTCCCACTACCGAACATGTAGTACCTATTTGAGACCCTCCCTGCAGCTAGGCTGAAATGCACACCCCTTTGGGCCAAAGGCAGCTGCAGATGCCCAGGGATGCATGAGCTGCAAGGGCCCTGTGATTTGAGGTTTGGCAATGGCTCTGGCACCACGCACAGCCTCTCCCCCATAGGTGCAGATTTCTGCAAAACAGAGACAAAGCCCTGCTTTGTGGTACACACAGGGCATCCAGGGGGCTTGAGGCCAGAAATGGAAATGTGCGGTTTTTCCATTAAGTACAACCTCTCCCCCCTCTAACAGGCCACCAGACTCCTTCAAATCTGGGTGGGTGGGAGGAGCTGTAAAACCCAGCCATTAAATCGCTTATGAGCTGCAGGTTTTCTGAGCACAGAGGGAAGTGCAGGGGGCCTGGGGTGTTTAACCTACAGTACTGCTGAAAAGGGGGCAGGACCCCCAAGGAGTGTGGCACTCATGCGCTGGCTTTCCCCACCGAGACTTATTGCAAAAGATGGACAATTGCACCCTCCTCAAGCTCGGAAAGTTGGTGCTTATCATCTGAAACCGGCTTCAGTCTTTCCACACAACTCCCTCACCTCTCTCAGAGCCTGATCTGAAACAAGCTGAGGCTGTGTAAGATCCCAAACCAGAGGAGGGGAAGGAGAGGGAGAGGGGAGGGAGGCTGGTTTTCCTGGAACCCTTATTAAATCAACTTTCCAAGGACAGCCAGAAACTCCAGGCCCTCCCCAATCCCTCAGGAGCACTAGCAGACTGTGCTCGGTGGGGAGGGGCTCCTGACACACACACACACACACACACTCACACACACACACACACGCGCACACAATTACATTCACAGCAAGGCCTTTCAAATGGGGAAAACTCAGCATGAACAGGGTTTTGGGTGGTTTGCTGTCACCTTTTGGACAGAGATTTATATGTAGATTGTAATGTGTTTTTTCTTTTTTTAAAGACAGGGTCTCTGTCATCCAAGCTGCAGTGCAGTGGCTTGATTATAGCTCATTGCAGCCCCAAGTCCTGGGTTCAACCAATTCTCCCATCTCAGCCTCCTGAACACCTAGGACTGCTGATGTGTGCCATGTTACCCAGCTAATTTTTTTTTAAGAGACAGAGTCTCGTTCGGTTGCCCAGCAATAGCGCAATCTCAGTTCACTGCAACCTGTGCATCCCAGGTTCTCGCAATTCCCTGCCTCAGCCTCCCGAGTATCTGGGACTACAGGCACACGCCACTACGCTTGGCTAATTTTTTTTATTTTAGTAGAGACGGGGTTTCACCATGTGGTCCAGGCTGGTCTGGAACTCCTAAGCTCAGGCCATCCACCTGACTCGTCCTCCCAAAGTGCTAGTATTACAGGTGTGAGCCACTGCGCCCGGTCTACCCAGCCAATTTAAAAAATTTTTAGCCTGGTCTGGAACTCCTTCCATTGATTGATTCATGCAATCAATCCTCCTGCCCTGGCCTCCCAAAGTGCTGGGATTAAAGGTGTAAGCCACTGTGCTCAACCTATTTTTTTTTTTAAACAATAGCAACATTATTATTTAATAATCAGCAGGCCCAAGACTATGCAATATTCTTGACGCTGACAAGGTTCCTTACGGCTTACAAAGCATGAAGCCAGATCTCCCCCTAAGACGTCCGGGGCCCAGCAGTTCTCTGTTCTGTCACAAAGCTCATGAGAGACAGGCTATGTAAAAGCACCACACTCACGTTAAGACAGGTGCTTACTCCACCAAGCAGAGATCTGGGGCTTGTTCTCCAAGTGCAGAGGCTTTCTGCTGCTGTGTCCCATGAAACAACATGCCCCTCGCCATGTGCTGTCTCCCCTAGAGTCTCTGGAAAAGGGACCCGCAACTGCCACTGACTGCTCATGGCCTATGGAGCAGGCAATGTCCTGTGAGTTCTGCAGACATTCTCATCTGATATTCACAATGACCTTAAAATGAGCACACATTCATTATCAATGTATTTTACAGAAAGGCACAAAGAAGAACTTTTCCAAGAGCCAAGAATCTGTAAGGTGGGGAGCCAAAATCAAAACCAGGGCAGTCCCAAGGAAAATGTGTGCCCACACAGGCCTGCACATGAAGGTTCACAGTAGTTGAATAACAGCCAGAATTCTTAATGACCCAAATACAGGTGACCCAAACAAATAGGGGCCTGACTACAAAGGTGCTTGAGGGAAATTTTTGGGTGTGATAAAAATGTTTCATCTTTTGATTGGGGTAATAGTTACACGGGGTGTAGACATTTATCAAAACACGTCAAACTATGCACTTCAAACAGTTGCATTTTACAGTGGGTATTAAGTTATACCTAAATTAAGTTGGTTTGGCCAGGTCCGGTGGCTCACACCTATAGTTCCAACACTTAGGGAGGACAAGGTGGGCGGATCACTTGAGGTCAGGAGTTCAAGGCCAGCCTGGCCAACATGGCAAAACCCATCTCTTCTAAAACTATAAAAATTAGCCAGGCATAGTGGCCGGCGCCTTTAATCCCAGCTACTTAGGAGGCTGAGGCAGATGAATCGCTTGAACCCAGGAGGCAGAGTTTACAGGGAACCAAGATCATGACATTGTACTCTAGCATGGGCAACAGAGCAAAACTCTCTCTCAAAGAAAAAACAACCCCCCTCCCCGCAACACACACACACTCAGCTTTTTTTAGAGATAGGGTCTTGCTCTGTCACCCAGGCTAGAATGCAGTGGAGCAATCACAACTCACTACAGCTTTAAACTCCTGAGCTAAAGTGATCCTCTTGCCTCAGCCTCCTGAAGAGCTGGGACTAGTATCATGTACCACCATAACCAGCTATTTTTTTTATTTCTTGTAGAGATGAGGTCTTGCTATGCTGCCCGGGTTGATCTTTTTTTTTTTTTTTTGAGACGGACTTTCACTCTTGTTACCCAGGCTGGAGTACAATGGCACAATCTCAGCTCACCGCAAGCTCTGCCTCTTGTGTTCAAGCAATTCTCCTGCTTCAGCCTCCCGAGTAGCTGGGACTATAGGTGTGCGCCACCCTGCCCAGCTAATTTTTGTATTTTCAGTAGAGATGGGGTTTCACCATGTTGACCAGGATGGTCTTGATCTCTTAGCCTCGTGATCCACCCGTCTCAGCCTCTCAAAGTGCTGGGATTATAGGCATGAGCCACTGTGCCCAGCCCAGGTTGATCTTAAACTCCTGGGCTCAAGTGATCCTCTTGCCTCTGCCTTCCAAAGTACTGGCATTACAGGTGTGAGCCGCTGTGCCTTGGCCAATTAAGTTGATTTTTTTAAAATGGTCACTTAATGTCAGTCTTCCTGGGTACATGGCCTCCTAAGAGCCCCATCCACCTCTCCTACTCCCTGTCTTCTGTTCACTGGGCCTGTGCTTCGTCCTCATCAAGACCTTCAGCCTCCAGGTTCCAGCCTCCACCCTGCCTCTGGTTCCTGTCCCAGCAGCTTCCGTGACCCCCTCCTCTACTAGCACTGCCATCCTGGCCCTAAAGTTCCTTATCCGCATCCCATCGGACTGGCTCACAAGCAGCCAGGCCCAAGATCCACACCTCCCTTCTTGGGCTGCAGAAAAAAAAAAACCAAAACAAATTAAAGAAAAAAAAAAGAAAGTACTTTAGGGTCCATCATAAATTCACATTCTCAAACCTCAACCAGGTCCTCACTGTTCTTAGACTCCTTTCCCGCTGTATACAATTGGCGGATTCAAATCTCTACTCCCCTCAAACCTCCCACTCTGACTCACTCCCTTTACATTTTCATCTCATCTTTGTCTCCAGTCGCCCACAGTTGACACCCAACCTACTTAAACACACAGATGCTACTCCTTTAGTGTCTTTCCTACTATTTCCTTCCTTTATCATCTCCCAGTCCCCACCCTGGTCAGTACCCGCACTTCCTCTAGCTAGGCACTCAAAAGAACCTTCAACCTCATCCTCCTGGCAGTAGCAGTGGCAGCGGTAACAACTACTAACATCTTACATAACCCTTTAGTATTTGTCTCTGTTTTACAGATGAGCAAACTGTGGTGTACCATGTTTGAGTAGTTTGTTGAAGTAAATAATGCAGCCATCAGATGGCAGAGCAGGGCGCAAACACAGGTGCACCTCACTCTCCTCCCAGCCATCCACACTGAGCTGCCAAATTAACTTTCTGAAAGCTGATCGTGTCACTACTTGCTCAAAACTTTTCAAGTTTCCCAGCATCTGCCCAATTAAGCCTAGTTTTCTTTGTTTTTTTTTTGAGACAGAGTCTCACCCTGTTACCCAGGTTAGAGTGAAGTGGTGTGATCATAGCTCACTGCAACCGCCACCTTCCAGGCTCAAAGTGATCCTCCTATCTCAGCCTCCCTAGTAGATGGGACTACAGGCATGTGCCACCACACCTGGCTAATTTTTCTATTTTTTTATAGACACTATGTTGCCCAGGCTGGTCTCAAATTTCTTGGCTCAAGCAATCCTCCTGCCTCAGCCTCCCAGAGTACTGGGATTACAAGCGTAACCCACGCCTGGCCTAAGTATAGTTTCCTTAGCAGGGCATTAAGCCTCCTATATGCTAACTCAATCCAATTTTTCCAGGTTTTGCTTCTCAGAACTTCCTACTCACCAGGCAAACCATTCTCCATAAACCATATACGTGCTACCTCTGAACACTCATGCTGTTCCACCTGGAAGGCCCTTCATTTTCCCCTTCCAAACTCAAGCCCATGTCAGGTGCTCTCTGCTCCCCTCTTCCTCTGCATTTCTACCACTTTTGGTTGTAACTCCACTGCGTGGTTTAAACAGTCTGCTTTGTGTTACTTTATACCTGTACTTCCTGTCCCCTTCCGACCATAAACTCCCTGTGGGCAGACAGTCTCTCCCACTTTGGGTCTCTACCATGCTCCAGCTCAGATCTTGCCTTCAGTTCTGTTACTGACAGCAACATGAATGTGCCTGCTCTAACCACTGCACCTTCTAGAAAGTCTCACACAACTTTCCCTGTTCCCTCCCCAACTCCACCTAGGGACACATAGTCTCACCCATCACTCATTATTCAAACGGGTCCCTGACTAGCTCAATGGCAGCCTTTTGCACTCCCAACCTTCCACCCACTGCATGTCAATCTTCTCTGTATGACCAGCCACAGAGTCACAAACCACACTATCCTCTGGCAGCAGAAATGCCCATTTATTAGTTCTCAAAGTCCCTTGAAAGCCACCAGGTATGCTGTACCTGCAATCTCCAAGACCCTTTTCACAGGTTACACAAATCCCATGAATGGTCAGGAAAGTTCTTCCTGTTACAGATGATGGCTCCAAATTTCTAATACGCCATAGGTCTCTACACCCCATTACACTTCCTTGGTCTCAATCACTTTAAAATCCCTCAAACAGTACCTATCCAAAGCAAACTGCTCAGCAGGCTCCCAAACAGAGCCTGTGAGACAGTTAAGGATTGGAAAATGCAGGCATGCAGCCATGACTGCCAATCGTTGTAGAAGATGTGCCTTTTTTTCACCCAGGTTGGAGCACAGTAGTGCAATCACAGCTCATACAGCCTCAACTCTTAGGATCATGTGATCTTCCCGTCTCAGTCTCCCTGAGTGGCAAGTAGCTGGGACTAGCGGCGTGCACCACCATACCCAGTTAACTTCTTTTTTGTAGAGACAGGGTCTCTCTATGTTGCCTAGGCTGGTCTTGAACTCCCGGCCTCAAGTGATCCTTTTGCCTTGGTCTCGCAAAGGGCTGGGATTACGTGTGTGACCCCACCATGCCTAGAGAAGATGTGGCTTTGGAACGATTTTCTAGAAGCCAGAGGTCTTTAGCAAGCTCCCATCTCCTATACCAACCCCTCTACTCTGACCCAAGTTCTACCCCCAAATTCAAAGGTCATTCTCTCCCCACTGCACCACCCAGCTGCATTTTCTACATCACCTAAGTTAAAGAGTGACACTAGGATCCCAATCAGATATTCTTTCTTCAGAAAGAGAAAAGCATAAATAACCCCCAAACACATCACCTCCGGTAAATGGATGTCACCAGCCTTCACAACCTCTGATGAAGTCAGTTATGTTTATAACCAGGCCAGAACCAGCTCAGGTATTTTGAGAGTCTCCCCTACAGGAAGGGAGCCCTTTGTTCCACCTGGGAAGCAGCCTTCTTCCCTGCTGACCACATTATCTCCAACCATAACACCTCCCTCCCAGCCCACACTGTTCCCGTGGCCCAGGAGTCCAGGCTGCCCCCCGCCAGCACCTTACCTTGTTCAGGCAAGGTCGGGGCCGGCCTAGCAGTGCAGAGTGTGGCTGTGACCAGCACAGCCCAGAAGAGGAGGCACTTCCAGCTCCACATCCCAGTTCTGCAATTAGAGGTTAGTGACAAGGCTCCACACCTCCATGGATACTCCACCGTGAGCTCGATCCTCCTTTTCAAGCTGACCCTGGGGAAAGAAAAAAACCCCAAAGTTAGGAGGGTTTGGGTAGGGGAGGGGCAAGAAGAAACAGAAGGTAAAGCATGCCATGTGGTGGCTGCTTCAAGCATGGACTTACTCCTTAAGGTCTCCAGAAGAAAACTGTGACCCTACCCAAACAAGGAATTAGAGGTTATAGGTTCTGGCCGGTACAGTGGTACACCCTGTAATCCCAGCACTTTGGGAGGCTGAGGCAGGAGAATCACTTGAGGTCAGGAGTTCGAGACCAGTCTTGCCATGGCAAAACCCCATCTCTACTAAAAATACAAAAATTAGCCAGGCATGCCTGTAGTCCCAGTTACTTGGGGGGTGCTGAGGCAGGAGAAATCACTTGGAACTGGGAGGCGAAGGTTGCAGTGAGCTAAGATTGCGCCACTGTACTCCAACCTGGGCAACAGAGCAAGACTCTGTCTCAAAAAAAGAGGTGATAGATCTTAATTGGACAAAGGGATGCTTTAGTTCAATTCTACAGTTATGTTTCGAGTGCAGATTATCTGCAAGTCCAGGAATACCAACATAAGGTTTTCCTGTAAGCTTCAAGGTAGTGTGTGTTACAAAGTGAATGGTCTCACCAAAGTCCCAAACAGTTCTGCCCCTTTGTGGGAAACAGCTTTACAAAGTGTGCTACAATGGCAGGGGGCTTGAGCATGCTGGGCTCCCCCAGCATAAGACTTCACTCTGTCTAAGCCAAGATTGCAGCACTGCACTCCAAGCTAGGTGATAGAGCGAGACTCTTGTCTCTAAAAATTAAAAAAAAAAAAGACCATCCATCTAGGGCCAACCAGTCCCTCTGGTGAGAAATAAGGGGTGGCGGGGAATCGTGGAACAAGCTAAGGACTAGGAAATAGAAGCCAAGTACAGAGATAACTAGTTAGTAACTGCTGGACTCCATGCTGAACTCCCCGACCTGTGCAAAGAAGCAGCTGAAATAAATGACCTTGTGGGTACTTTCTCTTTGTCTCTAAAATTGTATGAATCACATCCGTAGTTCTACCAGCCTCCCTCTCAGAGAGAACAAAACCCTCACCAACTACTTACAAAGAGCCTCAGAGCGAGGAGGGAGCCAGTTCTCCCTGATGCTGGAAGGTGACAAGTGATGTCTGACGGATATAAGGCCAGAAGTTGCAGGGGGCAAGAGGGCCTGGGAGGTCCCACTGCGCAATCAAGGGCTCTTGCAAGCACGAGTCAAAGATGGCTCACACTGGCCCCAGTTAAAAGAACAGAATCTGCAGCCCTTTACCCTTCTCTGGTCTGTAGTGGTAAATTTTAAAACTCCCCAGGGTCTTAAAGAACGGATCATAGCTGTTAACATTTACCAAGTGACAAGACTTTCTGAGCACTGTCAGGGCTATGTGGGGGTGACCATCTCTGTCTTCCAGGTGGCTTCTGTCCTAAATGCTCCAGGGAGCCATCCAAGTTATTCAGAGAATCCACTTCCCCGGAACATGCCCTAATGTGGTACTTCAGCCCTGCCTCCCCGGGGCCAGGCAGGGCCCCTCACGAGTGAGTCAGTGCTGGCTGGCAGAAAAGCCCCTGGATTCTTGGCTTCATTCACATGTGCTTGGCCAGCAGGATACGCATGCCATACCACTAGCTCCCTCCCAAGGCTTACTGAAATGTTTTAATGATTGCAAATCAAAAAAGAAGTAAGCATTTCTCTTTCATTTTACTAAATTTAGGAAAGGAACTAGAAAAGACAAAATGAATGAATACTGAACCCCCTATGTAACAAGGATGCCCTGGGTAGAATTAACTTAGAACTATAAAGCTTCATTTATTCCTCACTAGAAACTTATGGGGGATAGGAATTATGATTCCTTTTAAGCAATGGAGAAACTGAGGCTCAAAGAGGTTAAGTACTTTACCCAAGGAAATGTAGCTAGCATGTAATAGTGCCTTGAGGCTTTTGGATATTAGAGGACAGTAAATAAGGGGGTTTTGAATGTTAGAGGAGGAAGTAAATAAGGGGTTGACCAAACCTGATTCTATCTGATGCAAACTCAATTTCTCCAAACCAAGTAGATAAGGGCAAATCCAAGGTATCTCCGGTAACAAGAGAGCCTTGATTTTCAATTCCGTTGATCAAAAGAAAGACCCTTGTGCCAGGGCACAGAGGCTCACACCTGTAATCCCAACACTTTGGGAGGCTGAGGCGGGTGGATCACCTGAGGTCGGGAGTTCGAGATCAGCCTGGCCAACATGGTGAAATTCTGTCTCTACTGAAAATACAAAAATTAAGTGAGTGTGGTGGCACGTGCCTGTAATCCCAGCGACTCAGGAGGCTGAGGCACGAGGACTGCTTGAACCCAGGAGGTGGAGGTTGCAATGAGCTGAGATTGCATCACTGCACTCCAAAGGAGTGCAATAACTCAAAACTAACTAACTCTAACTAAATAAATAAAAGAAAGACCCTTGGAAGCAGACCACAGATGGGCCATCTACGACACTGCATGGGGCACATTCACAGATCTGGGATAGAAGCAGTACTTGCTGGAGGATATGCCTAAAGCCACATTCCACATCTTACTACATCCCAAAGATATACTTGATGCAGGCCTGTCACCCAGAAACGCATACCTGACCAAGAAAACCCAGGTCCCATGGTAACTGCCAGAGTACTGAACGAGTTCTCAGATTCCAACAGGAAAGAGTGGTGTCATGTTGAGATGGTTAAGGTTGCTTCCACTCGGCCACTCTGTCCCCAGAAAAGCCTGCCGCCTCCTCCCAGGTGTGGGCTGGCTGCAGACCGCCCCTCTCAGCTCCCTGGTCAATGCACTTCAAATTCATCTGCCAGCTTCCCTCTTGTTCTTTCCCAAAAAAGGTGCAAAAGTCTCTTCCTCTCCTACTCCTCTGGCTCTCACATTTGACATCTGTAAAACAAGGATGTTAAGGAAACCTGGCCTCCTGGTACCAACTTCCGGAATAAGAAGTGGGCACACACCCAATGCTACCCGCCTGCAAAAAACGTAGTGACACAGGCCACTAGTCCATATGCTGTCTGGGACCCTGTCACTGCCTCCGTCACCTCAGTTTCTCATTCTACTAATTAATGAATTTTTCCAATCCCTCAGGAACAGCTTCCTTCCTTCACTGCTTGACAGATGTGATCTGCAGTCTTGCAGGTGTACACAGCAGCGTCCGCCAAGACCCTGCAGCTGGTTCCCCCCGCCCCATTTCTCCAATATCAGCCAGGCTCCTGGGATTCACGCCTGCATGCAGAGGTCCTTGGTGGGGAGCAGAGAGGGGGCGTAACATCTTAGTTTCCCACTCATTGGAGGGGGCTGAAACTTGCCCTGCCTCCATCACAGGGGTTATGAAGACTGAATGGGCTGCATGGGTGAAAGTGCCTGCTGTCTTCTCACTGGAGTACTGATCCAACATAAGGGGTGGACAGTGTCTGGTGAGATAGCGGGGGCTGGATGGACCTTGTGACCTTGCAGCTCGCCCAGTTCTAAGAGAAAAACCTTCTATGAACGTCAGATCTTGTTCAAAAATCATGTAAGGAAAACTAGCTGACGAATTCTTGGCCAAGTCTTTTTATTCTTTTCCTTTGTCACCCAAGCTAGAGTGCAATGGCACAATCTCAACTCACTACAACCTCCATCCCCCAGGCTCAAGTGATCCTCCCACCTCAGCCTCCAAAGTAGCTAGGACCACAGGCATGTACCACCATGCCCGGCTAATTTTCTGTATATTTAGTAGAGACGGGTCTCACCATGTTTCCCAGGTTGGTCTTGAACGCTTGAGCTTAAGCAATCCACTCACCTTGGCCTCCCAAAGTGCTGGGATTACAGGCATGAGCCACCGAACCCAGCCTGAGTCTTTTTATTCTTGCCTGCTGGAGACAGTATGAATTCATGCCCTTCCACTTATGATCCTGTACTCTGGGACAGTCACTTAACCATTCTGAGCCTCAGTTTCCTACTGAGAGGAAGCTACATCACAGGTGGTTATGAGGCTCACATGGGTGGTGTGGGTTAACGTGCCCATTCTCTCCTAAGTACTAACCAAATGTAAAGAATTATATATTTGTATTTCATACATAATATTAAGATATTTATAATTCTCATTGTATAGTGCTTTGAGTCACTCCTTGATAGCACTCTCAGGAGATTCGGTAATTGGTAGCAGGAAGACAGGAACTTCCAAACTTTCCAAAGGCAGTTCTCACTCTCCATCTTCATGTCTTATATTCTATACTTGTGGCCCATACAGTGGCTAGTGAACTGTGAAATGTGGCTGGTGCTAATGGATATGCTAGAAGTAAAAAGTATACATTGCACCTTAAAAACTTGTTATTGGAAAAAAAAAAAATGCGGGCTGGGTGTGGTGGCTTATGCCTGTAATCCCAGCACTTTGGGAGGCTGGGGCAGGTGGATCATCTAAGGTCAGGGGCTCGAGACCAGCCTGACCATCATGGTGAAACCCCGTCTCTACTAAAAATATGAAAGGATTAGCCAGGCATTGTGGTGGTCGCCTGTAATCCCAGCTACTCAGGAGGGTGAGGCAAGAGAATCAATTGCTTGAACCAGGGAGTTGGAGGTTGCAGTGAACTGAGATTGTGTCATTGCACTCCAGCCTGGGCGACAGAACAGGACGCCATCTAAAAATAATAATAATAAAAACTAAAAATATTTTAAAAACCAAAAAACAAAAAACAAACTAACAATATAAAAATTAGCTGGGTGTAATGGTGTGCACCTGTAGTCCCAGCTACTCTGGAAGCTGAGGCAGGAGAATCACCCGAACCTGGGAGGCGGAGGTTGAAGTGAGCCAAGATTATACCACTCTGCCTGGTGACAGAGTAGGGCTATGTCTCAAAAAAAAAATAATAATAAAAATAAAGTATCTCTTCAATAATTTCTATATTGATTACATGTTTGAATGATAATATTTTGGAAATATAGTTATATTAAATAATTAAAATCTAAAGAAACAAGTTAATTAAAAAACAAATTTTACCTGTTTCTTTTTACTTAATTTCCAATGTGGCTTCTAGAAAATGTGAAAACTTTCACATTTTCAATGTTATGTTATATTTCTTTCTCTCTCTTCTTTTTTTCCTTGAGACAAAGTCTTGCTCTGTTGCCCAGGCTGGTGTAAGGTGGCGCAATTTCAGCTCACTGCAACCTCTGCCTCCCGGGTTCAAGAGATTCTCCTGCTTTAGCCTCCTGAGTAGCTGGGATTACAGACATGAGCCACTACGCCTGGCTAATTTTTGTATATTTAGTAGAGACAGGGTTTCATCATGTTGGCCAGGCTGGTCTTGAACTCCCAACCTCAGGAGATCCACCCACGTCAACCTCCCAAAGTGTTGGGATTATAGGCGAGAGCCACTGAGCCTGGCTTCTTTTTTTTTTTTTTTTTTTAAACAGGGTCTTCCTCTGTCCCCCAGGCTGGAGAGTAGTGATGCAATCACAGCTCATTGCAGCCTCTGCTTACTAGGCTCAAGTGATCCTCCCATCTCAGCCTCCTGAATAGCTGGGACTACCAGTACAATTAGCATGCTTGTCTAATTTGTGTACTTTTTAGTAGAGACAGGGTCTCACCATGTTGCCCAGGCTCGTCTCCATCTCATGGGCTCAAGCAATCCGCCTGCCTTGGCTTCCCAAAGTGCTGGGATTACAGGCGTGAGCCACTAAGCCCAGCTACTCGAGTTCTATTTCTATAGGACAGCACAGCTTGAAGCAACCTCCATGCCTCTATACAAGAGTTTCTTCTTTGCCCTTCCTTGTTCTGCAACATGCCAGGTCTTCCCCTGTCTCTGAACCCCACTTTAACTTTCTTGGGCCTTCTAGCTGGAGGATTTCATTCTTTCCAATTTGCAAACCACATTACTGGCCCCTCTCACGTGGTGCTTAGGTCATATTATATGCATGTTATTTATGTTCATTCTCTTCTCTCCCCATGAAACTGCAGGCTCCTTTGGAGCACGGTTTGTGCCTCCCTGACCTTTACTAACACGCTTGACACCTAGTATGTACACAGCAGAGGCCAACATGTTTGTTAACTGGATCAGTAAGTGAATGAAGAAAAAGAAAAGGCAGATGAGAAGAAACTGACACAGATACTCCTCCAGAAAAGAGGCTGAGAGTATCAGAGAAAAGCAATTAGCTAGTACCTCTTGTTAACCAGCCAAACTCTAGTCCAAGGAACACTGAGAAAATTTCTAGACAACTTGGTTCTTCAGAATTGAGGAAGTAACACCAAAACATTCAGATGGGAATAAGACTTATTTCTTAGCAGAAATGGTTGCTTTCCCCATTCTCTACTCGCATGTTGAGAGGGCAGGGGGCAAGTACTTAATAACATATGGAGAAAGTTATTCAGCTCAGCTTGCAAAATTTTAGTTGGTCCAAGGAAAATGCAAATCTTTTAAGTCTCGGTTTAAAAAAAAAGGTGTCCAAATGTCCTTGGGAGTAGAGGTATGTAAAAAATTAGCAGTAAGTGGTTGGGCATGGTGGCTCACACCTGTAATCCCAGCATTTGGGGAGGTCAAGGCCAGTGGATCACTTGAGGTCAGGAGTTCAAGAACACCTTGGCCAACATGGTGAAATCCCATTTCTACTAAAGATAGAAAGAATTAGACAGGTGTGGTGATGCATGTTTGTAATCCCAGCTACTCAGGAGGCGGAGGCAGGAAAATCGCTTGAACCGGGGAGGCAGATGTTGCTGTGACCCAGTATCATGCTATTGCATTCTGGCCAGGGCGACAGAGCAAGACTCCGTTTCAAAACAAAAACAAAAACAAATTAGCAATAAGTGAAACATGAACTGCTACATTAATCTGCTGCTCTTGCAGTGACTCACACCTGTAATCCCAGAACTTTGGGAGGCCAAGGTGGATAGATGACAAGGTCAGGAGTTCGAGATCAGCCTGGCCAACATGGTGAAAGCCCTCTCTACTAAAAAATATATAAAAACTAGCCAGACGTGGTGGCATGCACCTGTAATGCCAGCTACTAGGGAGAATTGCTTGAACTCAGGAGGTGAATGAGACTCCATCTCATAAAAAAAAGAAAAGAAAGAAAATCTTGCTCTTGGAGACAGGATGTACTACGAGTGGAACCCCACCAAATACTTGGAATGGTTCATCTAGGTGAGTGCTATTTAATGGGGGAGAGGGCCCTAAACATAGTTTCTTTCATCACAGGGGAGAGAGAGGTGGTGGTGAGGAGAGAATTTGTTTAAAGTAGATGCACTCTTAGGGGAAAACAAATATCCTAGCCCAAGTCTGACATTTCATCCTCTCTAGAAACACCAGAATCTTCTCTAAAGCTCTGCATCTGGGCTCCCACCAGTCCCTGGTGCGTTCAGGCCTTTTACCAACCTCTGGGGAAGACAAAAGCAAGATACAAATTTCCCAGGAGGAAATTAAACTCATCAAGTGATGTGAGGCCCTTTCAGAACAAGACATTCGAATCAATTCTAACTTCTTTTCCACCAGCAGCACAGGCTCAAACTTTGCTAGGATGCTCTTTAACTGACAGCCATTTTGATGAAAGACATTTTAAAAACAGAGGCAAGAAAAAAGCCTTTGGAGAACCGGCTGCTAAAACCCAAAGTTCACACGAGCAAAGCTCCCATTTTAGGAGTCTTGTTTCAGGTCAATACTGAAAACAAAGAGCACACCACTAAAAGCAAAACCCATGGGTTTTCCTTGGTCTCTAAGGCTTGAATCTGCCTACCCAGTGTTCAATTAAATTTTCTTGCCCTCTGGAGTCTACTAGGAATAAAGCTAGCCCAGCCTGAGGGATGTACCAATGTATCTAATCCTCTTCCCCCAGGGA